GAAATCCATAGTTCTACCCTGGAGCTTGTTCACCTTATTCAGACTATTGATTCCACCGAACAGTGTCTTTCTAAGTGTTATAAAACCGAACACAGGCGATCATGGAAGTCCAGCGGAGTTCGGGAGTTTCAGTATCCGAAAATAGTTCCATGAACTTGACGACCAAACACCGCTGCCTGTGTTCATGCAAACAAGATGGCCGCCACCTTGTGGTCGTCTATAGGAATTGCGGCCACCCAGACGAACACTTAGAACACTGAGGTGGAAATCGCTACAAAGTAGCAATTAGGCTTAACAAGCTCTAAGATGGTCTCCAATTCGTGTTCCTCAACCATATAATCTAATTACACGAACTGATACTTTTATATTAGTTTACAGGGTCCATAGTCTGTAGGCAGTAGGTTGGCAAGCAGGCTCCTCCAGGAACTCGTGTCAAACTCACTTGAAAAGGGGAGTTTGTCAGAGTATAATACTACAAGTTGTGTCTATATCAGAGTCTTCTTCTAATACAGGCTTCTTTGCTTATATGAAGCTTCTTTGTTAAATACAAAGGCAATCAGAAATGAGACCAGTAAAATATACAGTATATTAATGATGCCAAAATTTGACAAATGCATTAAAGTTTATTTGCCCAGGAACAGGCTTTCAACAAGTATAGAAGTGTTAATATTGTTAGGAATGTATTTCTTATGAATATGATCTAACTGGCTCTGCTGAAATACAACTCCTCTCATGCTCCGTGAGATTCTGGATGAGGGCTTTGAAGTTAAAATATACAATAGTATTGCAATTTACGTTAAAATATACACATACAAGACATTTTAGCTAATTATTGCCATAGTACTACATGGAATAAAACTCAAACTGATCTCATTCAGTGGTTGGATCATTCCAATATGAATTTTAGTCCACAATAGTTTTATTTAGCATGTCATCATTTTAATGGACACATAAAAGATTATACTTGGTAAAAATCACTTGAATGAATACAGCTCTAAAGGTTGAAAATATATATTTATTTCCCTAACTCTTAAAACTAACCACCCATCTCTGAGATGCTTTGGAATCTTTTCAATAATGTCCTGGGCAAAGCATTTAATTGGACAATGCTCAGCACCAAGAAAGAATTAAAAGAACAATCCATTAGAAAGTGTATAGATTTTTTTGATATTTTAGATGTGTTAGGCAAATAGTTATGCCAACTTTAAAACATAATTAGCCTAGGCAAAAGGCCTCTGCCTAACTACTTTTCATGTGTGCACTTTCCTTGAAGGATCCTAAGTGTCTATTGGCAACCAAGTGCCACTTTCCTGGGGTGACTAGACACTTATCTGAAAACAGGGGGCATTTTATTGGAGTAACTGGATGTGTACATTGCTGGATTCAGGGTATAATATTTCTGGAGGAGAGTTATTGAGACTTACATTCCATACAATATGATGAAAGCTATGGGGTACAGAGAATGTCTGAGGATTGTGCAAGTTTCCAAGGTCTGGGATGAACTGATGGAACTCTAGGTTGGAGATTGAGTGTAAGAAGTTCCTGATGTGATCCATGGAGAAAATAAAGTTGACACTCCCCCAGTGGAAGAGCTGGCATCAAGACAGAGTGCCGCTGGCCTGTGCCCAAACCCACCGGTAGCCCAAGACATCCTATGCAGTTGGTCTAGCGGAAGAGATAACCTCAGCTGCCATTTCCTATGAGTGATCCCAGAAACTGAGGATTTAATTAACTTTATATTAGAGGTAATCGGCCTCCCTCACCAGGAGATGGCAACCCTACAAGAGGTAGAGGTAGTCAGCCTCCCTCTAGCAGCAGATTGCAACACAGCGAGAGGAGGTAGAAGTAACTAGCCTCTCTTACCAGTGGCAGAGTGCAGCCCGAGAGAGCTCAGTCAACCTTTTGCGACAGGGGGTAAAGCATTCCAGGGTCTCAGAGCGGCTATGAAGCGAACTGGGAGGAGGTACTCAGTTGGAATACAGGAGCTCTGTCACAACCCACAAATGGCCAGTGGAAGGTTTTCAAATGCAATGCAACTGCCATGGATTTAGAATAGTATATGTTTGTCCAAGGTTTGGAATCACAGTGGAAAGTCCTTGGTTATTGGCCTTGGGGCACTGACCTGGATTCCATTGTGATCTCAGCACCTCAAAAAAAGGGTGTCTACTCCCTAGCATTGTATTGATTGTATATTGCATGGTTGAAACCGTTTAATGTTGTTATGGAAGCCATAACTGTATGCTGGGACGATGGCACTAAGCACTACCCTATAGTCAGATGTTTTAGGGGAACTTCCTTGTCTCGCAGGTTCAGGAAGGGGGGAATCTCTCCTTTATACCACCAGTGTCTACACAAGTTCCATTTAATGTCTGGAGTTGTATATTCCCCTCTTGTGAGTGGGTGTTTTATTTTTCCTCTCTTCCTCCTCATCCACATGTGGAATTGGGAGACAGGCTCACTTCCATGCAATGTGTTAATCATCTCTAGATTGGACAAAGATAACCAAAACCAGAATACCAACACTAACGTACACATAATACCATGCCACAACACGCTTCACTATTCTTTGCGAACACCAGAGTACTTAATACCACCAGAAAAATGCTCCTTTGCACTTACAGACTTTAAGGCTCACAAGGCCCATATAACCTATATTCAAGAAACACTTTAGGGAAAACACCACCCCTAAATTGACCAACAACATCTATACACAAGGATACTACGGAAACAACCCACAAAAGTAAATCCAAAAGGACTGCCTTTCTCATACACAAGTTTTTACGGTTCCAAATAAACTCCATCAAATTGGGACAGGAGGGGCACTACATCTTTGTAATAGGCTCCATGATGGGACAAACCCCATCATAAGCTCCAAACTCACAATAAAATAAGTTCCTGTTAGCCACTATCCAAGACCTTATAGCCTTCATAGGGGGTTGCCTGATTTTGGAAGGCAACTTCAATATCGCACTCCAACCAGTGGCATTAATGCTTTCTACCATATTGTATAGCACTCCAAGGTGCCGAACAGAGTACCATGACATGGACAGACCATGCACCTCTCCTCATGAGATCAACTTCCTCTTTATGCCAAGCACAAATAACTGGCCACTTAATGAGGCGCTGACTGACAATTCAGGCCCAAGAAACAAAAACAACTGTGACTGACGATTTCCACAGCAACAACTGGCCTTGGTGATATGGCAAGGACACAATAGCACCATATGGGGATTTTTTATGCTAAAGAGGGTGGCTGGCAAGAGATGCACACATATGTACACTAACAGAAGAGATTCACAAACTAGAAGCTACTTAAATTATCACAAGACTTAACTACCTTCCTCAAGCTGACAGAACAGAGAGGCCAACTATCAACATTGGTACACAGCCTATACAAAAGGTCGCCGACTCTCCAAAATACACTACTATGTTAATAGTGACAAATGCGGCAAGCTACTAACCTGCATGATTAACAAAAAACATGTCTCAAATCTGGGACACTAAAGGGCACATACTACAGTTGCTGGATTAAACAGCTAAATTAGTCTGCAAATATTATAAGGACCTTTACTCCCTATGGTCACACCCCTCTTCTACCACAGGAGACATAATTAGTACAATTTAGACATATTTGTAGACCAATGCCCACACTAAAATTTATGTCAAGACACTGGAAGTGTTTGAGGCAATGCGGACGACTGAATAACTAGTTCAGGCTATCAAACAGACTAAGACAGGTAAATCCCCAGGACCAGATGGATTCAGCATCTGCCATTACAAACATTTCATTTGTTCTTTGCCCACAGTTCCTCACAGCCTTCAACTTCGTCATGACACACAATCCCCTTCCCCTGGCAGCTGATATGTCACTTATACCCAAGCAACAACCATAATACACATCAGCCCCAATACATACAGTAAAAAATGCCCAGGAGTGATGGGAGTTTGAGCGCAGGACTTTTTTTTGTATTTGTATTTTAAATAAATACAGGCTGATTGAAAAATAAGTAAATAGTTAAGCTATCAAAAGCAAAGATTGATACCCTTTGTCTTGTTCTTGTTGTAGATATCTCAGTCATCAGAATATATGGCTTCTAATAGGCCAAGACATAGCTGGATCAAATCACAGAGCTGCTCTAAAAATCACTTTGACACCCCCTCAAATAGAATGAAGATTTCATGAAGGTAAATTCTTTATCAAAATACTCACATTGACTGTCTTGGCTTTTCACTGAAATTCCGACAAGGCCAAAAGATATCATGCGATATAATAGGGACTACTTTGTCTTCTGCATTGTCACAGAATCCTCCATACAAATCGATATTGTACTCTGGCACATGTGAAAGTACAGCACTGATGTGGGCTCTTAGCAGATGAAGTACCAGCAGGTGAAGAGGACCAATGGTCATGGCAGAGGGACAGCTTCAGATAAGTAAAAAAATTGCCTTTCACTGCACCTCGGGGCAATGCAGGCAGCTAAGCCTCTGTTAAGGGTCTTTGCAAAATATGCAATGATTCCAGAAGGTGACAGAGCGGCTTTGATAGTCATGCTGCAAAAAGCCTGTACATTTTTCACCCCACATTTTATTACACAGAATTGCAACCCTAGGTGAAGGAACAGATAGCTTGAGATAGCCATATTGTACACAAACCAAGCCTTAAAGAGAGTCAGCCAGTGTCTTCAATGGAAATTGCTGTCCAACAGGTAAGGACAGCCAAAGGCAGGACACCCATCACTCTAGAACTCTACAGCCTTCCAAAAAAAACAAGCATATTACTGGCATTTTCCCCCCAGAATGGAGTTTGCAAAGTGTCTAACAATGACTGGACAAAAAAAAAAAATTATATATATATATATATATATATATATATATATATAATTGAGTAGCTAAACAGTCCATGGTTCATGCAATTACAGACACCAATATCATCATCACCACCTACCCATTTTTCATCAATAATCACCCAGAAATATAAAAAAATTAAATACAAGAACAAATTTATTTCAATGACTACATTTATTGAATTAGACACTTTACATGTGACAAAATCTGTACCAGGCTATTTACACAGTATAAATCTACTTGATTTTTTTTTGTCATTTTATTATTTCTTACAAAAAACAAAGGGGGAAGAGAGTCACGTTATTTCAAGAGTAATAAAAAATATACATATAGCTGATTAATTAAAAAAATAGCTAACATTCTATTTATTAAAAGAAAAATCGGTGTTAAAAAAAATTAAAATAAAAAAAAGTTTAACCATACAGAAATTTCATTAATTTGACGTGTAAAATGTAAGTCTGGGTGATTTTGTATATGACAAGATATATAGAGGTTAAATCACTAAATCGTAAGCTGTGGTTAGTTGACATCCAAAGTGCAAAAGTTAGGTTTAAACAACCAGGTTGGAAAAGAAAAACAAATCTCCAACATGACTTCAATGTAATCCAATTCTTAATTTAGCCTACATTTTGCAAATTGTGTCAGAGCTGCAATACTGTCAATTTAGATAATAAACCCCATAGTCTAAGGATGCCAGGCAGTGACTGTGATGCTTTACAACAATGGTATATAAGATAGTATTTTACATAGTTGACAATTGGCAGTGGTTGATATTGTGATTTCAATTTGCGTTTATACCGGAATACATTGTGGCAGTCTGTCAGTAGGTCAATAATCTTTATAGATACTTAAAGCGGATATTGTTGCTCTTATAGAAAGCACACATTTAGAGTAGTTCAAATATTTCTGTAAAATGTTTTGGATGTATATGTAATTAAATTTCTCTCTACGCAGTCTGCATTTTACAACAGACAATGGTTTGCCATTAAATTATTTCATCACTTTCTGGTCAATGACCCGATTACAGTTCATAAATTTTTATTTGTTTCTTGAGCATGCATCATTAAATATTTGCTTCCCAAATATATCAGTTAAAGAAGTTTTCATATATTTAAACCTTCTAGATATTTGAACTTCCCTTATGATGCTATTTCATACAATAGGTATTACTGCCCATTGAGATGCATAATGGTGGCATAGGTTAAATGAATCATTTCCTAGAACAGAACAAATGCTCGGGTCGAAAGGGTGCCTTAGAAATACTCAATACAAAATATGCATGGAAAGTGACATCTAGTGGTCACATACTCTATTACATAATTTATAATCCTCTTACACAATATCAATACACTGAAATTAAGGCCCTAGAGTGACTATTTACCCAAACACTAAAATTGTTCAACGGTGCAGGCAGTTAGGCTGAATAAGTTACAAGAAAATAACACTGTACATGTTTGTAAGGCAGTGTTATAATTACACACAAATCATGATGTAGCTATACTTATATATGTATTTATACCACAGTATAAATAAATGTAAAATTTATTATGTAATAGCAAAATCCCCCGTCCTTGGCTCAGCAAAAAAAAATATTTTATTTTGTGTCCTCTTTAATTGTAAAGAAGAAAAAAGAAAAAAAAAAAGAAAAAAAAAAAGGAAAATTATATGTATACCCAGTACACAAAAATATATATTTAAATATATATATATTTATATGGCTACAGCCTAAATAATACAATTTAAGTATTACAAGATTGGTAACACCAAAAAAGTCTTCTCCTTTAACCATGGAGTTTGGTATATTATGTTCAACTTTCACCATGAAAATTGCAATTACTGTTAAATTTAACCAAACAGAAGGCCAAAATTCTTTTCCTTCAACCCTTTCCTGTTTATTACAATGGCAATATTAAAATAAAAGAAATTAGGCATATCCATTGTACCACAAGGATTTAGGGAGGAAATTGTCAATTAAAAATAATAAAATCAAAAAGGATATCTTAAATAAAAAGGGGAAAATATATATTATATTCTCTCCCATTGTTCGTAAAATAGGTCTATGTAAACCAGACGCTCCAATTTATTATGTAGTGTTTTCATTAGAGAATAGTCATCCATATATATCCATAGTTTGGTTATGCAGAGTTACACAGAGTTCCAAATGAGAATCATATTATATATTTGGGAGTGTAACAAGTAGACATGAATTGCTAAAACAAAAACATGTGTGTCTGATGCCAGAGATCTTATCTGATTCATTTGTGTGTAATATCCATTTTAATCTTGCCGAAACAAACAAGGATCCTCGAGTTTTGCATGACTATATATGGAAAAATGCACTTTCAGGGCCCTAGTTGTAGAGACCTTGGCAGAGAAAGCAAAATACTTAAACATTTAAAATCCTTTTTCATCAGACCAAGCGTCTTAGACTGGCAACCACACCCCTGCTGTTATTGGATAACAAGTCCCACAGTGCAGTATTATGGGAGTTGCAATCCTAATATCTGGAGACCAGCACTTGACACTCGTCTTAAACGTTTGTCACTTTTAAGTAAACATACTGTGCAATATTGCACTATGGAATGCATTTTAAAAACCCAACCCCCCCACCCCCCACAAAAACACTGTTGAAAACAAATACGCTCTACAGGAATCTGCCGTTTAAAATTAACTGATGAGCCTTCAAAAATGCGGCGGAACCTTTACATTAATTTCCTACAATGTGACATTTAAATTCTAAATTTCGTACCGACTCGGACACAGATATTTAAGTTTTGTTGCAAAGAACAAGGGGGGTGGGGGGGGAATAAAAAAAAAATTTAAAAAAAAAGAAGCACAAGTCTTTATCCATATATATATAAAAATACATCTTAAGTCCATTCCACTATTGGAGCAGCACAGGGCAGTGACATTAGCTTAAGGTGGTGGATATCCACCCCCTTCAAATGTAACATTTATCATTTGTTTGTATATAATACAATATTTGTGGTAAAAAAAAAAATATATAAAGTTTCTTCTTTTTGTAATGAAATATGGCAAGCTATCATTCTATCATTAAAGAAGATGGTCCTTGGAAAGTGTTAAAAATGGCCCAGATGTAGATAAAGGTTTTCTTCATGGTCCCGTCATAAAAAAACACATTCTTATATACTCTGTTGAGACTTCACTTATAGAGTTCTAAGCTCTGGTTTAAAAGTTCTGGTTTAAAAGTTCTGGTTAGGAACCCTAATACACTAGGGAGAAGTGAAGATACAGGAAAAGGGTGGTGGGGGGCAAAGATAAGAGTAGGGATGTTTAGTAACAAGCAAGAAAACCGTGTTGATCGGATTAGAAGAAAAAGAAAATAATTGGGTTGAGTGTATTAGAAAAAGGAAAAGAAAGGATAAGCAGCTTAGGCAAAAACCTGCATATTGCTGGACTGCTCAGGCATATGGGTTGATTGCCCATGTGCACCCCCCACAACAACAGGACTAGGGGTGGCATCTGACCACTCCGACACAGAGCGAGGGGATGGGCTGGACCACTGCTCTGGGGATTCTGGAGAGGGGGTAAGGTAAGGATGTTCATTTGGAACATGCAAGTAGTGTTTAGGTGTGTCCTCTTGAGAGGGAGCGAAGGTTTGTTGTGGAGGTGCAGGAACAGCAGGAGAGGTCTGGATGGTGCCTTCACTTGTTACAACTTGCTGCTTAAAGTAGTTGCCTTCAGCAGGGGCCAGAGACTGAGCAGATCGCTCGGTCACATGTGGCATGCTCTGTTGCCGCATATGAGCAGCATTGGTGGCTGCAGAACCCATCTGGCACTGCTGCTCCATGGACATCTTCACAGGGCTCTGCATAGCCATCTGGTTGTGCAACATTAGCACTTGTTGGGCATGAAGCTGGTGCAAGTTGGGAACAGACCCAACCGGAGCTCCTGCCATTATATTGCGTTGTGAATGTGACGATGCTAGTTGGTTTTGCCAGGCAAAAGGCAGATTTGGATTCACCATACCAAGACTCAACCCATTCACCACACAGCTTGGTGCCCGCTGCAGTGGAACTCTTCCTTGAAGTGCCAAAACTGTGTTGCCTTGTGACTCCCCAATATCATTAAGATGTGCCAGGGAAACTGCAAAGGGCCCCTCCATAAGCCCATTCACAAGTGGGGTGGAGGGCACAGATAGGGATCCAAGGTGGAATGTGCCAGGGGCAGACATAGCTGGGGAACCAGGGTTGGCACTATAAGCACGTGGTGAATCCAGGGAGTCAACAGGTGATAGGGTAACTGAGCTCTCCATCAAACCCCCATTTCCAGGGGGACAGTCGAGTGACAGCTTCTTGTTTCTATTTTTTGCATCCTTAGCTTCTCCCCGGGTTAGACTAGCCCCACCAGTTTTAGCTCCTGCCCTGCGACTTTTCTTGCCTTGGGGGGTCTGCTTGATGTTTCCCATGTATCCATTTGGAGGGCAAAGAAGTGGTGACATGGTGTGTCCCCCAAGAGGCCCTTGGGAACCCCTAACTGTGTTATGTTCTTCCAAGAGCTGAACAATATCGTGGTGTAGTCTCTCTTGTGCTATGTCTCGTGGGAGACGATCCATATGATCTGTGATTTCCCGATTTGCATAGTGATCAAGGAGAACTTTAGCGGCTTCATAACTTCCTTCACGAGCAGCCAAAAATAATGGTGTTTCCTCCTGTAGCATGTAGAAGAAAGCATAAATGTTAAAATTTATAGGCACACAAATTAGCCTCAGACAGGGTGATTGCTGATACATTTCACAATCTATTTTGTTAACGGAGACCTACTGATTGGATTAGAGCATCAGCGGATGCTCTCAGCCAATCAGCAGAGCCCCTGTCGAAGGCTTTTTGTTTGAATCTCCGAGAAGTGGGCAGAGCTAAACAGTACTGGATTTAAGACTTTTGTGTTAAACAGTTTATGTATGATTTAACCCCTAAAGGTAATCCAGTGCCAAGGAATTAATTTCAATTACGTGGTTTTGGTGCCAAGAATGTTCCTTTAAAAGGTTTATTTTTATTGCTTATGTATGTCTGTGTCACCATTAGTTATTCTAGTCTATAACTTGTTTACCATTGACTAGCACTGGAATTGTGGCACATTTAAAAACAAAAACAAAAAAAACAGATTGCAGCAGTTTACATCTGAATGGGTACTTCCCATAAAAATTACTTGCATATTTAAAATTGATGTAAATTTTATAGATAATACCATGGATTCATTTGCTTTTATATATTGTATTAAAATATATACATAATAATTAAGTACAAGAGTCAACACCAATTTTTGACGCTTATTATACTTCTACTTCACCCTAGTTATTGAAACCCACAGTATAACTTCATGTATAATTAAAAATCTAACAGTTCCTCCTTCCATGAGAACCACAGAACACCAACAAAAATTCAGTGTGAGCAGGAATCTTGGGGCATAAAAGGCTAAGGTAAACTACTCCAGGTGTTAAGCGACTAACCACCAGCCTGCATACCTCAAAATCTAAACGCTTATTCTCCTTTTCAGTTTGTGGAAAGTGGATGAAGATTTAAAATGCATTCTGTTTTAAAAAGAGAACAAGCAACAGCAGAATCTGGGTCTGTGAATATCTTAAAACCACTTTAATCTGCAGGACACTCTGCATATTCAAGGAAAGGTTGAACAAAGTTTGTGAGTTGAAAGCACAGTATCAAATCCGGCAGCGGCAGTATTCTTTCTTTCATGAAGACCCTTTTGGCAGTTTTGTAGAAAATATGCAGTTCTGGGACAGAAGGCTTTAAGTGGATCAATTGATCCACTTGTAGAACATTACTCTAAATTTGCGCATTTTGCATAACCATCTGTGTGTCCTCTTGTTGGTTAAAGATCACAAAACACTGTGTAAACACCACTGCCTGCACTCACCTTGCTGTCCTGCATGTCTTTATTTGCACCATTCTTCAGAAGAGCCAGTGTGGCCTCTATGTTATTGACAGCAGCAGCCCAGTGCAAAGCAGATTTACCTATAAGAATAAAAAAGCGAATGAAAAATAGCCATGTCAGATGGTAGATTAGCAAGTTTTATTCTGATGGAGAAGGCCACATTAATATCTTAAGAACATAGTAACTCAAACACATGGAATATACTTAGAGACTTACTGAAGATTATCCAGAGACAAAGAAAATGCATTATACAAAACATTAAGCAAATAACTCTTTCCTTAGTAGTCACATAAAATTATAATTCTAAATACAGATATGTAAATTAAAATTTTTCAGCAGAATGTTTGTCATCAGAGTTTTAGGAGTGGAGAAATGGAATTTAAACCTCTGAATGCCTTAAAAGTTTTGAAAGTCACTTTGCCACCCTACCCCAAACACATTCTGTATCTCAGTTTAGGAACTCACCAAGTTCATCTACAGAGTTGACATCAGCATGGCAGGCTACTAGCTCCTCTACCATTCCTTCTACAGCCAATCGGGCAGCTAAGATCAAAGCTGTGGAACCATCACCCATACGAGCATCAAGATCTGTGGACCGGTTTCTGATAAGAATCTGCAGAGAGGAAGCATATGTATTCTTGTTGGCGACGTTTTATGTCCCTTCATAAATGGATTGCTAGCCACATGTACTGACTTATTTCTCTTATTTGTTACATTACAACTGACATTAAAATGTGAATCTAAGCACTATAAGCAATTTGCATTACAGCACAGGTCATGGTTCTTATAATTCCATTAATTTAAGAGAGTGGCTTAGAGCAGCAGTTATTTAAGTTTCATCTATAGGACACCCAAGCAAAGCTGTCAAGCAGGCAGTTGGAACACTTTGTTCAATGTTGCCCTGTATTAATTTTGTCCATACAATACATGCAGTATCTGCCCGTAGCATACACAGAGAAGCTTCACTTCCTGGTGATAAACGAGTACTATAAATTTGAGATCCATGGATCTGCCAATAGCACAGCCCGATGCACTAAACAGTGGGTCTAGACTCCCTAAGCAGTCGATTGAGAGAGACATTTTAAAGATAAGCAATTTTTTTTTTATAATTTTGCATTATTTAAAGGAACACTGTGGACATCATTACAAATTCATCAGAGTGATGTTGTTCTGGTGCAAGGTGGTTACCAGTCGCCAGTTACCTCAGGTGTTTAATTTGGCGCCCAAATCACTCTGCCCAGCTATGTACACCTCAGTCCGAGGCTTGAATTAGAAAGCCTTGTACTGGAACCACAAAGAGAGTCAGCCTATCAGTAGTTCCCACTCACCAAACGACTTGGACAAAAATACGTATATATTTCTGAAGTCATTTTATGAATGGGGAACTATTGATAGGCTGAGAGTGTCAGCTGACACTGTCAGCCTATCTGCGGAATTAGCTGGGCATAGTGATCAGGCATTGGATTTAACACTTTGGGGTTAAACTCCTGGAGGTCAGGCACTTGGGGACCTCTTTGTACCATTACCTCCTTCCAATGCCCAGAGTGTCCTTTAATGCATTTATAAATTTTAAAAAAAATGTACATTTTTACCTAGACAATCCATTTAATTCTAGCTGAATGGAGTTGATAGAAGTACAATTCTTTATACCAGAAATCAAACCTTGGTCTAGCTGTGGACTTTTCCAGATTACTTTATCAGTCAGAATTAAGGGACATTTAGTCCAAGAACACATTAAAAACTAGTTTTGAACTTACCTGGAATACTCCTTGTGCATCTGAAGCCACAGCAGCATGTAGTGGGGTACGGCCTGTGTGATCCTGTGCATTGGGGTCTGCACCGGCATCCAGCAGTCTCTTAGCGGCATCAGCCCGGGCATAACGGGCAGCAAGGTGCAGTGCGGTCTCACCTGTGCGGTCAGTCTGTGCACCAAGTGATGCACCTTGGCAAATTAAGTCTGAAATTGCAGAAACTTCTCCCTCCTCCTCATCGTCTTGGGACTCCGGCTCAAGACCACCTCCCAAAAAGGAGGCAAGCATGAGTGGAGTGAATCCATCTACAATGCACAAGGTAAAGGAGAGAAGGTCACACATTTCCCACTAGCGTCCAGAAATCAATTCCTCAAAACTAAACTTGGTTTTTAAAGAGAAACAGCCATGCTCCAATTTACTGCTTTTAACTACACTAAAAGGAGATGGTGATTAAATAAACATCAGCATGAAAGCAAAACTTATGGCAAGTGACATAACGGATCGGCTTTATCCTTTAAACCTGTTCAGTAGAAGAAAAAAAAATAAATCTCATTTATTTGAAATTTGGGATAACTATGAAAATCAAACTTATGTATTGCTTTTCAGGGATACAGCTACAGAAATGTAAAGAAAACAAATTTTGTCAAGCATTGACAAAAGTTGTGTGTGTGTGTATTGGTGGGTTAATACCCCTTATCTTGTAATATTTGAATCAGGGTCTGAACTGTTAACATGTAAGCAAAAATAAAATTTTGCCACATACAATTGACAAAAGAGAGACATAAAAATGGTCAAATACTCTTGTAGGGATTTGTAGAGGATCCAAATATTTTTTTGTGGATGCAGATTTCAACTAATAGCAGCAATAAGTATATGTACTGTACAGCACATTGAGGGAAGCCTATACAGCCTGCATAGAATCTCTGAAGTGTGCCTAGAGCCCTCTATTACTCCTTACCTAATGCAAGAAAGAATACAACCAACATATGTGAAACCATATCAACTCCTGTGCAGCAGGGGAAAACACATTTCAGCCTGTGTTTGAAAGAGGTGGCGGAGAAGGGCAATATTATTTAATATGAAAGGTAAAAGTTCCAAAAGGCCAAGTGAAGCAATTCTGGTCACCAATGTTTGCTTGTCCCTGAACCTCACTGGCCAGATTTAAAAAATGTATAGATTTAGTGTAATATAAGGTTTAGGACTACAGCTTCTTTATCCACAGTGGTCTCAGAAATATACACTAGAACAATGCAGGGGGACCACAAGTAAAACAGCATGCATGAAATTGCATTCAAAATGAAGCTTAGGTATTCTCCACTCACCAGGCCCTCTTACGTTAACATCCATGCCATCGCTCTCGTAATCACCCTGTGGAGGAGTGAGGGCAGTTGCTGGGGGTAGTCTGATGTCAGCAGCTGCCAAGTGGTGTTGAGTCCAAGGGCGGGGGTCCACAGGATCCTGTCGGCATGGGGAAAGCTCCTCTGTCTGTTTAGAAAACAAAAAAACCACACATGCCAAACGGTTTGTTTTGTTTTTTAAATTAAATATACATAGTAATCTATAAAATATCTAGACTAGTCACAGTATACAGATAAACATCAAAATACAATAAACATACATAAGCTGAAAAAGAAGCACAAGACAAAGTAAACAGGCAGGCAATACTTGCCTCGAGGAAAGCACTGAACAACCTGTTAGTTTGGCCAGAAGAAGAACACAACCCACACGCTGTGAGGTCAGAAACAATTTAGTAATAGACATGCAAGACTGAAATCGCAAGCTCCTTCCAAGGTGCCCAAACTTTAGAAAAGGATTTCATCACTGGCTCAAACTGCTACAAATATGCACCAAAGTCAAGCCAGCTAAGAAACTCATCTCAAGAATCTACGCTTCCGCGAACTCGGACACCCAAGCATCTCTGCCTTCCTTCCAAACGGCATGGGAACGGGATATAGGACACAGGCTCACGAGCGACCAATGGCACACCATATTCCATGCCAACAAACAACTCACCCTATGCACATCACACATGGAAACCTCCCGCAAACTATTATACAGATGGTACTTAGTCCCAACAAGACTCAAACACAGCTACCCGAACATATCAGACAAATGCTGGCGTTGCCTAAGGGACCGAGGCACCTTATTGCACATATGGTGGCAGTGTCCGCTACTGCAAAAATACTGGTAACAATCCTAGACCTAATAAAGAGCTGCACCGAACTACATATCTCCCTCCTGCCGGAAGTATTCCTGCTACTACTACTTCCCCCAACACAGCACATGCACACTAAATACCTACTATATCACATATGTATAGCAGCCCTCAGTACCATCAGCAGAAATTGGAAACAAACTACGGCACCAACGCTCAACCAATGCATCACAGCGATAGAAGCGTCCAAAACCTATGAAACAATGGCAAGGAAAACAAGTCGGGCCAGCCCCTATTGGACAGAAGCATGGAACATGTGGGACCGAAACAAACCACACTAAACCAACGAAAACAAAAACCCTCCATATAAATGAATAACTTCCACGACTGGAGGCGACCAAACAACACGCAAGATGGCTCACGTACACATTGCATACACACTGCACCTACACCACACTCATATAACACCTCTGTACACCGCACCCAAATTACACTTAGGTAACTCAGGTACACCGCACGACAAATACCCCTCCGCTACTCGCGCCCCCCCCCCCCACGGGTTCAACACCAACACATTGGATAGTGTCAACCTCTAAACCCAACCGAGCTTGAACCACCGAGGACAGACACTGCCCACAAACATACAAAGCTCAACTTGCACTGAGAACCAAGATATTATAACTACTGGTGTAACCCGAACGAGCCCACAGCATGTAATGGTGTTAACCTGCGCAATGATTCAATACTGTTGACAATCTCATGTATAAGTTTATGTACAAACCCCCTGTGTCTCCCTCTTGCCTTCTGTAACCCCTTCCTTTACCCTCAATCACAAAATAAAAATGGTCAAATTCAAAAGAAAAGGATTTCATTAAATTATGTATAAGCCTAGTTATTAGTAAGTTTATCCATTATATAGTTGTCAGCTGTTATGCGTGGAACTTCAGGCATGGAAGGAACGGCTGGTTACAACCACTGCCAACAAAGCTCTCATAGCATAATTTTATTAAGTAATTTTTGGGAATGAAGAATACAATTCTCAATAGGAGTAAATTGGCTATTTTCCTTTTTATAACAGAGCAGATAAATACCACTTTGTTTTGTGAAGAATACCACCATTTACTAGGACAGGCACAATGTAAAATAGTGCAAATTAATCAAACTGAAAGTGGGTAACTAACAATATAATCTAAAATCTGGGATTTTAGTCTTGTTTGTGACCTCTTTGGCATCAGGTAGTATACCCAAGACAGAGGGCCATTCACATGGCATCTGCAGCAGTAAAGTATCAATGTATATCTACACCCATATTAACTAAAGTTAGCCAGTTTTTTAAAATTCTATCTTATGCTTAGGTTTTACAGTGAAGCAAAAAAAATTTAATAAACAAGCACAGCTTTTATTCCGGGCAAAAATTCTACTTATTACTGCCCTGAAAATCCATGTACCAACAGTGCTGGTATTTCCCAATATCAGGTGAACCAGTAAAATAAAATGAAGATTTATGGAGAGCAATTTAAAAAACAAAAAAAAACAAATAAAAAACGACAAAACTGAAATCACTGGATTATATATACATACATACACACACATATTTGGGATATATACATATACTTGGGACTTGTACCTTTAATCTCTTCGCTTCTGGACATTCAGTCTCTGTCCAGTCTTCAGACGGGTCTTCCATGAGACGTTCTGCTTTAGCCATGTTCCTGGTGAATTTAAGATGGATAGATTAGAAGAAGACAAAAACATCTGTTTTGGAAACAGGTGAAAAAGTGTTTGGGGAAAGGGGCGTAGAATTTTTAGTAAAGGATCAGAGCAAGAGTTAGTAAGATATTGATGGTTGGGTTACTAAATATTAGACTTATGCAAATCAAAATCCGAACTACCCGAACTAATTGATTTGTCTGGGATTTACTGGTAAAGTCTTAGTATTTGAATAAGATTCCACAGGTAAATCCCAGACAAATTGTTTCAATCGGGTATGGATCAAAAGGACTTTGATTCAGACAAACCGCTCAAATTAATTTTCGCATAGGTCTAATACTTTTACTTGTATGTGAAGACTAAGAAAGATTAGAGAGGTTTGTAAGCTTGCATGCCAACCCACTACATACATAAGTGTCAGCTGATTTATTAAGGGCCATGTTTATAGAGAGACTTAGTTTCATTTTTAAGACAAAAAAGGTATCTCAAGGGACTATTTATCCACATTCATTTTAACACCCACATCTAAAATACTCAAGAGCTTTTGGAATGATCCTTACTTTAGACCAACACCCACAGAATCCTGTCCAACAGGCTCTCTGCGGTCTCTTTCCTTCTTCAGGATAAAGCCTTCTGGGAACCACAACGTACTGTGAGCTCTCTTCCTGCGAGATACCAGGACCCCCAGAACCACCACGACTAGGACCAGAAGACCAGCTACCCCAATTAGAGGTAGGAGGTCAAGTGGTTTTGTGGGAATTTCTTCCAATTTTTCACCTAGAAAGATTTCAATATTTGTTAAATCTCGAGCAAGAATTCTTCTATGTTCCATATCAGTATATTATATACATCTTTTCAACATATCATGATGGATAGGATCCAGATAGCATTAATAGAGCGGGCACAAGTGAGCATGCTCTAATAGGGCACTTTCTCCCTATACTTAACATGTAGAGTGAATTCATGTCCAATGACTCACCACGCACGGATGTCAGTGGATAAGGGAAGTTCAGTCTTTCTAGTCCATTCAAGGCAGCAATGTAATCTGCAGCGCTCTCTGCATCTGGAAAACATCCTCCTATCTCCTTCACACATAGCCGGTTATCAATTTCCAGGGATACACTGGATCTGTTCGGGGAAGAGGAAATGTTACCTTAAAGGCCTGGTTAAAACAATACCAAGACTGTTACATAGAAAATCTAATTTAGAACCGCAGGAATTCTCACCCTATTACATCGTCATCAAGCTCCCTTTTTGCTCGTATCTTGGTGGCTTGATCCTTCCGATAGGGGTAAATCATATATCTCCCCTCACTGTCCTTGCGAAAGCGCAAAGCTGTGCGTAGGATTGCACTAAGTCTCTGTAGGAAAGCAGTGCTTTGTTTTAACAGCTCCTCGGGGGGAAGCAAAACCACAACTACCAACACTCCACTTGCCAGGACTTCTCCTTCTGGACCTCCAGCACAATCAAGGCCATCCCAGCCACATTCCCCTGAGTTACAACCCTGGTCACATCGACCATCGCCATAGTGATCCACGCAATACTGCTCATACACAGGGCTGGGGAGTAAGAGATGGATAAATAAGAACAGTAATTGTAAACAATCTTAGCTTTCAGTGCTAAGCTTCTGACTGACTTTTGGGTCTAATCTGTGCAAAATGAAAACATACTTTCTCACTCAAGCAATATCTTTTATATCAATGTTGCCATACTTTAAGTACAGGTTCCAGGTTATTTTATTAATACAGTGTTAATGGACTGTCCCTTGTTCCATATCTAAATGCCTACTCAATCTGTCCCTTATTACAATAACTTGCATACATTGTTTTTCTACCTCTATTCTAAACCTCTACTGTCGTCACTTACTTGCAAACTTCTCTCTCCCGACAGTCAAAGTTATCATATAGACACTGGGCAGAGAGACAATCCTTGTCACACAGAGAATTGTTGAAAAGCTCACGACACTGTGGATTATGGCATCGTTTCCATGGATCGTCCACGTTTAAGGTACAGTCCCAGCCATCCCATTGACAGGCAGCCACATTGCACTCCCTGTCACAATGACCATCTCCTGCCTTTCCACGACACTGTGGTGGATTACATTGTAGAGTTGGTGCAGTGGTTGCTGGTAAAAAGAGTCTTGAATCACAACGTGGTCCTGCCAGATTCGGTGGACACTGGCAACTGAAGTAAGGGAAATGTGATGATGGGAGGCATGTTGCTCCATTACGGCAAGGGGAATGGGAACAAGGTGAATGAAAGGGAGGTCGCGATGGTGCAAATTGGGGAGGGAAGGTGGCATTGGGAGAATGGTTACAGTTGATACCAGGAGGACAGATGCAGCGAGGACCTAATGGGGAAGAAATACAAGTGGAACTAGAGGGGCAGGTGATGTCACGGCAGGAGAGGAGTGAACGTTCACATGAAGGTCCGGTATAACCCTACATGGGAGAGAAACATTAATGTTGCATTGTCAAAAATTCTCTGTGAAAGGATCAAATAAAAATCACAAAGGAGAAGGATGTACAAATGAGAGAGTGTTACCATGGGACAGTGACATGTGTATCCAAGGGGCGTGTTAACAGTCACACGGCAGATTCCCCCATTTTGACATGGGCGAGATTCACACGTGTTCACCACACTCTGACAGCGGCGGCCTAGAAAAGGGATGGAGGGGAAAATATTAGACACAGGCTTTCAAGTCGAAGATGGATTCCAGAATAATTACAAATAGGACAGTAAGCACCGTAGTACATCTATCTCTAGATCTCCTGTCTGTAAGGCTGCCAACTGGAATACTCTTCCTGGCTGGCAATACTAGTTTTGTGCAACTTGTCTGGTGTCGGCAGACCTAGCCAACTCAGACTTCCTTTGACAGACTGGTCATGGCTGGATGAGACACACACACACACCTCCAGCTGACCAGAAACAAGTTAAAAATTAGAACCATTGATAAATGTGAATATTAGTTCCTAACACAAAGCTGTTAACCCCTTAAGGACCAAACTTCTGGAATAAAAGGGAATCATGACATGTCACACATGCCATGTGTCCTTAAGGGGTTAAACCTAAAGATACAAATATCATTATTCAGTAATGAAGACCTAAATAAGACTCCGTGCAAACCTGCAGGTTCCATGGTGAACTCACCAGTGCTGAATGATTTACTTGCCAAAAGCTAGTGGGCAGGTGGAAATTTGGAGCCCTGCAAATATAAAGGCAATCTTGCAAGGTATATATTAATTTCTTTTTGCCAGGCAAGTTAATATTTTGATATCTTTTATTTGCTGTATTTAGAGCTGTAGAAATTGCAGTAAATAGATTATATGACAAGTATGGAGCTCTAATTTCATAGCTGCCACAATCTGCACACAGAAGCTTCATCCCCAGCCCTTTAAACCGCTTCAGCTATTCTAAAGGCTTTATAGACTCCTGCACTACCACGACTAACCCACACACACACACACACACTTAACCCCCTTCCTCACCTGTATAACCATTCCGACAAATACACTGGTAGTCATTGGCCAGCTGCACGCAGTCTCGGGTGTTATGTGGGTGGCAGGGTCCAGAAAGGCACTCATTGATATCTCCCTCACACCTTTCACCTGTGTAACCAGGGGGACAGTTGCAGCGGTAGCCGCCCACCTTGTCAACACATGTTCCATTATTCAAGCATTTGGGAGGCCCACTGCTGGAGAAGGAGGAGCAGTCATCCTCATTTATTTCACAAAGGACACCTGGAAAATAGTGGTAAATAATCAGAGTCAAATATAAAAGGGGGACATTTATCAAAGTGTCTTTTTCTGAAAAGTGGTGCAAAGTTGTAAAGGTGGCGTGATCACCAATGGAGTGTTCTGACTAATTACATTTGTTTCCATGGTGAATGGTGACTGCCCTAGTTTTAGAATACACAACTTTGTGTTTGTTTTAGAGGGGATTTATAAAATAAACTAAGCAGGAAAATAGAATGAAGGCAATGTATTAAGGAGGGCAAATGATGTCACCATAGGGACAAAGACAGGTGGAGGTAAAAGTGTGAAATGGCTGCAATGCTGGAGAGCACAATCTTACCCAGGGTCCCTGGAGGGCAGGAGCAAATATAACGGCCTATGAGGTCAATGCAAGAACCTCCATTCTGACAGGGATGAGATTGACATTCATCAATATCATATTCACAATTCTTTCCATCATATCCTACTGGGCACTAAAAAAATAAAAAATAAAAAGTAATTAAGTGTAGAACATATAGATAAGGGTTTAAGATATTTATTGCATGATCAAGTTTTGGCATTGCTTACACAAAATGCTTTTTTTTAAGAACAGTAATATGAGCACAGGAATGCATATTAACACCAGCGGCGCTCCTCTGTAAAACATATACTTCACTCATTTCAATGGAATAGGTTTTAAACTCAACAAGTCACACAAACCACAGAGCTCTTACCTCGCAGGTGTAGCCTCCCAGAAAGCTGTGGCATACTCCTCCGTTACGACAAGGATCTGGGTCACACTGGTTGATAGGAGTCTCACAGTAGCTTCCCGTGTAGCCTCCTCTGCAGAAGCATTTGTGAGAACTGCCAGTATTAATGCATGTACCTCCTGACAGGCAAAGTTGGTCTCCACGTACACCTGGGGAATAAAAGCCAGTAACAGGACCACATTTCAGATTTAACTTAGAAAAGCAGAGTCTTAGGGGTATTTGACTTTCCATTACTCACCTCTCCTGGCAGCTGCCACCTCACATGACACACGTGGAACATCACAGTAACTCCCAGTCCATCCTTGATCACACTCACATCGGAAAGTAGGGCCCACTTGGGTACAGCGTCCCCCATTCTTGCATGGTGAAAGCTTGCACAGGTCTAGAAGATTCTATTTTATAGTATGGAGTTAAAAGTAAAGATATTTAGAATGGCTTATCAATATACAGTAATATTCTGGGTCAGAAAATGACAAAAATTCTTGTAAGTCTGATCATACGCATTTATCCTATACCACATCATCACCCCCATATACTACTGTTCTATCGCCTATCACCCAACACACAAACATTTGAATTCTGCACTGTACACAACCTCTAACACATCCTTCTCCCTATGCCATGTCCATCTGACAACGTACACTCTTCTCTTGGACATAGTACCGTTTCTGGACTAATATGATACATTTCTCATATATAAACAAATTTACAAACTTTTATGCGTCATCTCATATACTTTGCTGCATTATATCCATTTATAGTTCATATTTTACACTGCCCTGACTCCTCAACATCTCTTACTTTGCACACAAGATCTACAACCACCTACACACAATATTTGATACATTTTAATTCTCACCTGGCACTGTACTCCAGTGTATCCATAGGGGCAAACGCACCGGTAAGACTCCACCCTATCCACACACACTGCGCCGTTCTGGCATGGCCGCGATGCACATTCATCTACTTCATGCTGGCAGTGAGAGCCAGTAAAGCCAGAACGACACTTGCATGTGTATGTGTTGATTCCATCCACACATGTCCCGCCATTGAAACAAGAACTGGAAAGAACAGGAAAGCTGGTTGGGTGCGACAACCTTCCAAAGTGATGCACTGGCTCAATATTTAAACTGCAGAAGCAAAGCTACAAAGGTGCTTTAAACCATTTAATAGGTTGTGTTTTCTTGCCACAATTAATTTTAAGGTTTAGAACAGCCCTTTTCTAATACACCTCACAATATGTAATAAAAACTGATTTAAGGAGCAATCATGTTGGGCCACACAATAACATAGGAAAAAAATATATATTGCTTGAAGGGACAGGGGTAGGACTGTACTGATTCTCTGAATAATGAGCTTTATAAGATAGTTTTGAGAGACAAGAGGCCATATTTTAGCTTGCATAGAACAAGTTTATATATTAGTGAAGGCAAAGTTCAGTCTTACCTGTCTGTACAGTCTTGGATGTTTGTTTCACAGATGGGTCCAGTGTATCCAGGAGCACAGGTACAAACATAGCTGTTAACATAGTCCATGCAGGTGGCCCCATTACGACATGGGTTACTTAAACACTCATTAATCTCATTAGTGCATCGGGAGCCCGTGAATCCAGGAAGGCAGGTACAGGAGAAAGAACTAATTCCATCATTACAGGAACCTCCATTGAGGCAAGGATCTGAGAATGTAAAGTACACAGTGAATAAGGAATCGAGAAGGCTACTAGAAAAAATAAAAAATAAAAAATTACACATCCATACACGCACAAATAGACAATGGGATCAGCACCCCATGTTATCTGAAATAGATACTCACTGGGGACACAGTCATCAATGTCCATCTCACAGTTTGGCCCAGTGAATCCTGATGGGCACGCACAACTATAACCACCTAGCCTGTTGGTACAGATCCCACCATGCTGGCATGGGCTCCGCATACATTCATCTATATCAATGCCACATGAGTCACCTGAAGAGAAAATAAAATAATTTTAATTTATTTTTTTTAGCAGTTAACCCTTTGTAAATACTTTGAATGCCATCTGGCCCTCTTTACTGTCAAAGTGGCTTTTCTACAGATTGAACAACTGTTGTAATCTGTAGTGTTGTTCCCATGCTCCCAAGAACCTTTTGCAGAGGTTTAAACATCTAAATATATGAGCAAAAGCCTTGGTTATATTTAGAGAACTTAAGTTTTACTCACATGTTGTTGGAATAATAAGTCAGTGTATACTAGCAGATCTTCATTACTATATGTAAAAGATCTTTACTTATTGTAGACATTTACCTTCCCAGCCAGTACCGCATTTACAGGTGTAGTCCTGATAATCCGAGGTGGGTGAGCAGATACCCCCATTTTGACAAGGTTCTGGGGCGCACGGGTCCAGGAGAGTCTCACATGTCTGACCTGTAGTGTATACAAAATCATATCATATTAAGACTTCATGGCTGATAGGTAACTGACACGGCAGATTATGTTAAAAAAACAAACAAAAAAAAACAAAAACATTTGCCATAAGGCCCACAGGTTTCTCCATATATTTTACCCCAAACTAACTGCCCTTCAACCTGTAATCCCTGAAAATAATTCCACAGATAGTGTGTCTATTTCTATGTGTCTATTTTACATACATTAAAGCATCTCTTTCTTACATTTATAGATTTAATTTGTATAACTTGGAATTCACATTTTCTTTTAAAAAAAGCAACAAGTAAGAAAGATCCCATGCTTTTATCAAATACTTTTTTTTATTATTTCAGAGTCCCCTTGCATCTTGGTAACCTAATTAACCTCTAGTGTGGCAAATTTGTTCTGACATTCCAAAATTTCACTGCTCCATTGCTGTAATTCTAAAATCGCCCACTAGTCATTGCGTCCATGTACCTGTATATGGAAGGGTACATAGGCAGCTGAACCCTGCAACACCATCTACGCAGATACCACCATTCAGACATGGAGCAGAAGCACATTTGTTGATGCTGATCTGACAATTTGTACCTAGCAGGAGTTAGATTCTGTTAGAACATATTACGCTTTTTAAAGAACACTGGAGAAAACGTATAGTTGTGCAGATAACCGCAAACTGGGCAGTAATCTAGAAGGGAAGCAATTAACATGAAAACCAATGAAACCAGCTGAACCATTCCATTGGTTGCCATAGAGTTTATGCACATTTGGATATTTTTCCCTTTTTTTCGATTTGCATACATTTCTACATTTATCCAACTTGTCCAGAACCGCCCCCATATGCCCCAAAGCCGCAAACAAGTCATGTAACGCCAATGTTTAACAAATTCTGTTGAACATTTGAATTTGGATGTTGGGCACTCTTTTTGAATATCTCTCTGCAATGTAACCTTGGTGATAACATTTCATACCAGAGCAGTTGGGTTCTAAACATAAGACAAAGATCAAAACACCTGAACAATGCTGTGCCTCTTAGGCACTATGGAATTTTGAAATTTGAATATTTTCATTTTTTTTAAAAGTTGTGTCATTATAAAACTGATTAATTAAGTTACAGCTAATCAGGACAAAATCACCCACCGTTATAGAACACCTATGGACATGCCATCAATAGTCTTTTGAGTGACAAATAGGTACATAAATTTGTTTTTCTTTATACTAAAAAATAAATAAGTAATTTTTACCACGGAATCCATTCCGGCAGCGGCAGACTGGTCCCCCAGATCGCTCCGTGCAAGTTCCTCCATTCAGGCAGGGGTTGGTAGAACAGGCATCAGTGCTCCTTCGTTCACACATTTTACCAGTCCAACCTGGCTGGCAGTCACACAGATACCTGAGTAAATGACAAAAAAGAACAAATCTGAATTGAAATGTTATGTGCAGGAGTAGGAACACAAAGATAATTCTGTGGGAAGGATAAATGGGAGAAAAGGACAAACACTGATGAAAGCAGTTAGGCATATGGAAAATACAATAATCAAGCACATACCCATCAGTGGCTTTGCGACAAACTCCATGCACACAACCTGCTGTGCAGGCTGCTTTATCATGGTCCTGGATGGGAGTGCAATAAGAGTCTCGCGGTCCACCCCCCTCTGGACAGAGGCATCGAAAGCCATTATGGAAAGTCTGGCAGGTGCCTCCCGAACGGCAAGGGTTGGATGCACAAGGGGACACCTCAATGTTACAGAGAGGACCTGAAAACAGGAAGATGCAAGTTAAAGGGCTGCACAGCATTACTAAAGCCTTACTGCAGTAAATTTGTAATGCCTCAAACTCTACAAATTGCAAATGATGCTTTAAAACCCTTCAAGAAAATTGAAATGTCAGGATAGTCCTGATACAATATCCTCAGAATGTTGTAATCATTTTGATAAAGAGACATAGTGACAAAAGAATGCAAGGATGTCAAAGTGTTTTTTCCTGCTAATCTCCCCATCCATCCTTTTCATTTATTTGAACACAAAGGGCTCCATATAGTGAGACTTTCCAAGCTCTTACTCTCATCTGCCAAAGTAATTAATATGCCCTCACCTGTGAATCCTGGTTTGCAGACACAATCATATCTGTTGATGCCATCTTTGCATTCTCCATAGTCGCATGGGTTGCTGGCACAGTCATCATAATTGTGTTCACAGTTTACTCCTATAATACAGCAAATCCCATTTGTGTCAAGCAGAATAAAGCAAATTCAAATACATGAGCATTGTCAATATCAGTCATGCCTGCCCCAGTCAGCATTACTACTTACCCATGAGAAACAAAATCGTAGCACACAGTTACATTCATCTCCTGTCAGAAAGGTCCCTTTCACTTACCTTGACCCTAACTTAGATTAGCAACAACCTTTGCCCCATAACAAAATGTCCCTTATAAACACCACATTAAGTTTACCATTGCAAAAATATCCAATCCCTAAAGGGCACTGTCATCAGTAATTTAAATTCCTCCAAAAAAGTTTAAAAAAAAAAAGTCTTACAATTTTCAATTGGGCACATTAGTCAGTCAGTGTCTAATAAATTCATATAATTATAGTAGAATTCTGAGAGGTACTCTGCTCAATCTGGGAAAAATCTAATGTTCTAACTGGCTGCAAGCTGCCCAAAACCTATCAGTAATTCTATGAGGAACGCTAATGTATGAAAATGGTTTACATGTTGTGATGGAGTACCAAGATGGCCACCTCCATACAAAAAAAATAAATAAAACAAAACAGCTATATCCATACATGCATGTAATTTATGACAGGGATATGTTGAGGTCAACTAACTAGAATAAAAGTAAAATAGACAACATTCTGTATTTTCTGAATAAAGAGCTGTAGATAATCTACATTTTCATGTTTTTCTCATCGAGAAAATTCATTCCGAAAATCATCTACAATATGCCCAGTTACGTAATCGTCACAATTACAGACATGCAGTATGCTCAACTGCTCAGTCACTCACCTGAGGTTCCGGCCTGGCAATAACACAAGTACTTGTTCACAATATCGATGCACTTCCCTCCATGCAGACACGGATTGCTGTTGCACTCATTGATCTGATTCTCACAACGATAGCCTGTATAGCCTGGGTCACAGGTGCAGGTGAAACTGGCAATGCCATCATGGCACTTACCATGGTGACAAGGATCTGGAGAGCAGTCGTTAATGTTACGCTCACAAAGGGAACCTTCAAAACCTGAAAGAAAAATATGAAGTTGAGTGAAGGTAAAACAGGTGCAATGGAGAATGAGTTAAATATGGTGCTTAAGGCCAAAAAGCACAAGCATGGCATGCAGAGATATTGCCAAGCAAAAAAGAAATCTTGACTGGGCAGCATTCTAGCCATTGAGCAAACCAAACACAGCAAAGTCAGGAAAGATTGAGCAAATCAGAACCACACAATGCAAAAGTTAGTAGTGGCAAAATATACTAGGATCAGGGCAGATAAAATAGTAGGACAAACCAAAACACAAAGCACAGGCTAGACATAACATGAGGCAGGCCCCATCTGGAGCTAGAATAAGCAGGGCAAGGATGGATGAATAAGGATCACCACGTAAACAGCAATTTCAGGAAAAACCATCAAAATTAGCTGCAGACTAAGGCTGTGTGAGGTGTCAATTAGGAATAGGTCAATAGCAGATAAGGTGTGATGATCGTGGAAAGTTCAGAAGGGGCATGTTTGTGCAAAGAAAGAGCAGGTCAGGTGCGCATGATGGTGCATGTGGCTAGCTCAGGTAAGGTGAGGTGTGATATACTAAGACAGGGCCCAGGGCATGATAGGCAGGCAAAACTGAGCAAGGTAGTGTGCTGGATGACAAGAGAAAAGCAAGGTACGGTAGAGCACTAACTTTGGCAAATAAGACATTGAGGAGCAGCAGCTGGTGTAAAAGCAAATTGATGGAACACAGCATAATACAAACATACAAGAAGCAGAAGAACTAAAGAAGAGTGGGAAAAAAAGAGCAAGCAACAGATTGATCAGACAGAAGGAAATCCAGAGACAGTACAAGACTTACCTCCCTGAATATTTTAAGAGAGACATCCAGAGAGCGTGAGAGAGAACAGGATACAGCATCAGAAAGAGACACCAGGTGTAAGATTACCCTCAGTCAGAAACTGGAGTGAAGAACTCACCCTCAGCACATCGACACTCGTACCCATTGGGTCTGTCCACACACTTTGCACCATTCTTGCATGGAGTACTGGCACATTCGTCTATATCAATCTGACACATGGAGCCCGTAAACCCTGCAAAGGAAACCATCTGTAAGTCCTCCACTAACCAAAGGTAAATAAGGAGGAAATTGTGGATTGAAGATCATTTGGAACATTTTAAACATAACAGGAGATAAAAGTAACTTTAAGGGGTCTACAAAAATGACCTAATAACAGAATGGCAATCAGATTTATATAGTCACCACAAGGGCTTCATGCACTCTGGTACCGTATAAATATAATGCAAAGTAATTAATAAGGACACTACTTGGGTTATACATGCATTTAGACTCAATTCAGACAGGAAAATAAAAAAATAAAAAAAAATAAAAAAAGATCCATCTATCTCTATCTATCCATTCCATAAGTTGAACCCAATACTGGACAGCTCCACAACCATTACAAGCTAAACCCTTTGCCATGCCATATGTGGAACACCATACCAGAACTATGGCACACCACAGGCAGAATCCCACTACAGAGAGCAATGTACTACATCACACGCAAACTAGAAACTTTTAACCTATATTAGGCGCACATCTGCTCCATACGTAAAAAATTGCTATTCATTATTTCGGCTAAACATGCATCAAAGCAGGAGGATGCAAATGTGTTCTACTGTGATTCTTGTTGGCCAACTAAAGAACAAGTTCTTAGAATAGCCGTAGATTCTATTAAAACATTCACTGCTAAATAAATGTAGCCTAGATTTTGTGTCTTGACACGTAGTCAAGTTGTCTGCATTTTCATTTCTGCTTTCACTTGGCCCAGACAGTTCCTTTGGGAAGAGAAGGGCGGTTCTGCGTTTTCCCCCAAAACTTCACTTTTTTTCCACAACTATTCTTGGCAGGAGATTATTCATGTCCTTGCTTTCATTAATGTCATGGTATTACATTAGACATGACCTCCCTGCTTCAACAACCCAATAGCAAGGTCCTAGAGAGACTGCGATTGTCAGAGCCGATCTCCTACAGAGCAGGGAGTATTAAATCCAGCCATTCACAGCCAGAACAGACCTTTCCAGCATGACCCCACTTCACTCCAAGACAAAACTCTATGGTAACCATTTCTAGGACACCACAAAACAAAGCAGAATAAAATGTTAGCATGGGGAAAAGATGCTCGGAATGACAAAAACTGCAAAAAACTAAGAGTGCAACGGAACAACTAAACAAAATTAATTGAAAGAAAATAAATTAATATAGATATAGTAGGCTGAACTTGATGGACGCAAGTCTCTTCAGCTATGTAACTATATAGATATAGAGAGATTTTTTCTTTTTTGGTAGTACTGCTCTGTATATTTTAAAGTTTATTTCTATGTAGAGGCCATGTTCGAACATATCTGCTACAGGAGAGTGGTCAGTAGGTCTCATGTACTGTAACATTTTTAAAAAGGTTCTAAAGCTTTGCAGGATCATTCCTTTGAGGTCTTTTCAACTGATTTACAATACATAAAACCATAACTGGCACTATCACCAACGAGGTCTCTAGCAGAGATCGGAAAAGGTCCTCCTCATTCCCAAATACGGAAATAAGGAACTATTTGGTAACTTTAATACTGCTTTTTATATGAGAGCAGTTTTATTTAGACTACATTAAAGGAATTCAAAAAATAAAATAAAAATAAATAAACCACAGTGGGAGTCTGCTATTTCTGATCCAAAGAAAAGTTCTACAGGAATTTAAAAACACACAAAAAGACAAATGTATTTAATACTTAACATATCTTGCTTCTAGAGATATTGTGTGTGAATATGTAATATTTAAAGGACCACTATAGTGCCAGGAAAACATACTCGTTTTCCTGGCACTATAGTGCCCTGAGGGTGCCCCCACCCTCAGGGACCCCCTCCCGCCCGGCTCTGGAAGGGGGAAAGGGGTAATAACTTACCTTTTTCCAGCGCTGGACGGAGAGCTCTCCTCCTCCTCTCCGCCTTCGATCCGCCCCGGCGGCTGAATGCGCACGCGCGGCAAGAGCTGCGCGCGCATTCAGCCCGTCGCATAGGAAAGCATTTACAATGCTTTCCTATGGACGCTTGCGTGCTCTCACTGTGAAAATCACAGTGAGAAGCACGCAAGCGCTCTAGTGGCTGTCAATGAGACAGCCACTAGAGGATTAGGGGGAAGGCTTAACCGATTCATAATTATAGCAGTTTCTCTGAAACTGCTATAATTATGAAAAAATGGGTTAACCCTAGCTGGACCTGGCACCCAGACCACTTCATTAAGCTGAAGTGGTCTGGGTGCCTAGAGTGGTCCTTTAAAAAATAAATATTGCATTATTGCCACAGGTTACATCTATCTTCTAAAATCATACAAAATGCACTGTTTAAAGGGACACTATAGTCACCTGAACAACTTTAGCTTAATGAAGCAGTTTTGGTGTATAGAACATGCCCCTGCAGCCTCACTGCTCAATCCACTGATATAACTACAAAGCCATTAGAGTTCGATGTCAGGAGCACTAGAGAGCATGAGCTTTGTTACATGCCTTTAAACAGCTTGAACATAAAAGACACATCTGTTGTGGTTTGGTAGATATTATGTAAGCACAGTAAAGGCTATATTTGTTTATATTTTGTGATTTCAGACACAATCTCATCAATAACCATAATAAACTATCAGTATGCGTGCAGTTATATTTGTACATAGTCAGGGTATGTGTTATAGCTTGCAGATTAGGCTTAGGGACAACCAAGGCACAGAAGTGATAGGTTCTAGTTAGAATTAACTTAATTACGTTTTTGAAGAACATTGTTAGAGAAAGCAGACAACCTACTGCAGAAACTGGATGCAAATCCAGCCACTCATTCTTTGGTTGAAATTGCCAGTTGGCCACTCTCAGCCAATGAATGAGCATCTGTGCATAAAACATACACAGAGTTGACAGCCAGCGAAGAACTCTTGTTCCCAGAACCACTTAATCTAATTTGGTTTTATGATTAGAGTATCCCTTTAGGTTACTTGGCCTTAACACTTTTATTAATGACTAAACTGTAGGCTTATTAAAATAAATGCTGAATACCAAGTGTGTATTTTACTCACCAGTTGGGCAGCTGCATGTAAATCCATTAACCACATCCTTACAGACTCCCCCATTAACACATGGGCTGCTCTCACACTCATTGACATTCACTTCGCAGAATGTACCACTAAAACCTACATGGGAAGAGAGGATGGTCAATGAATAAATACAAATATTTAACTATTAGGGGGATCAGATCTGGGGTGTAGACTAGTAAAGCTTATGAATATATAATTCTCTAGGATATACACATTTTAGCCGGTTCGGTTAACTTTTTTTTTCCTTTTGCATTTTATTTGATTTCAGTTATAAAAACAAGCACAGGGCTTTGTGAAGTGTAGCTGCAATTCCCGTACACGCTGGCTTCCCACACTGAAATGCATCATACCAGCCATGCAGATGCAGGTAAACTCTCCTATACGATCGAGGCAGGTAGCATCGTTCTGACACGGGGTGGACAGACATTCATTGACATCAGTTTCACAGCGTGGCCCTGTGTATCCCCGGCCACACTGACACTGGAAGGAGCCTTGGGTATTCACACAGCGGCCAAAGTGTTCACAAGGATTGGCACCTGAAAAAACAGATTGGCATATTATCACTTGCCCAGGAGTTCCAAGAACTCCAAGCATAGCAGACATTCATTTAATCAGAAACTGCACCCATTTCAGATTTCAAAATGCAGTGAAAATAGTCATTTCAATTTCATCCCCATTTAGTATTGCACATACCAGAGTTAACACCTATTCCAACTCAACAAAGGTGTTACAAAGTTTCATTGACAACCTTACCTATAGAGCATTCATCTACATCCTGGTCACACGCCCCTCCTGTAAAACCTGGAGGACAAGTGCAGATTGCCCGTCCACTGACTGGGTTAGTGTCGCACATGGCATCTTTGTGGCAGGGATTACTAACACAGGCATCCTCTAAATGACACAGAAGACCTGTAAGACAGCAGAAAGTTTTTAAATACCTGCAGGACGAAGGCATTTTTCTTTGATCTTTGAATACACTGTTTACCACCCACAGAGTGCTCCATATTGGCCTGGCAGGCTTCTTTATTTACATTTAGCCTGCCAGAGAACATTATCCGGCAACTCAGCAGTAGAATGGCTGAATTTAGAGAATTAAATCTGAAAGCTCAGCTCATAAGTTTTAAATGAACAGTAAAGCCCGAAGAGGAGTCTTTGATTGCATAATGTAGATGAATTAAGATGTATAATAAAAACAAAACCACAGCATTCTGCAGGCTCTCTGCTGCTAAATAACTCAAGATAAAGAAAGACAATCAGCCAGTGTTAAACAAACGAGAGTGATACTGTCCATATGAGTAAGTGATGAGTAAGATTTGTGAATCACACACAATGTCACAGATTTACTTCATTTAGAAAGCAGATATACCTAAAGATTACATTTAAATCAGTAGTTTTTCATATTTGGCCACTTGGACAAAGTTTTCAATTCCCTGCTTGGCTAATAAAGTACTTTGCGCAATAAAAGACATTTAATATTGCTCTTTAAAAGAAAGCAGATTGTTTAATAATTTTCTCACAGTTTGGCAATTATCAATGGTTAAAGAACACATACCAGTCTTTCCCATTGGGCATTCGCAAAAGAAAGATGCTACACGATCATGGCAGGTGGCACCATTGAAACAGACAGCAGTGGCGCAGTCATCAATATTCTCACTGCAGCTCTCTCCTGTCCAGCCATTAACACACACACAGGAGTGCCCTCCCTGGATGTTGAAACATGTTCCTCCATTGTGGCAAGCATTGGGTTGGAGTTGGCACTCATCTACATCATCTGTACAGAACTGGCCTGTCGAGAGAGAGAATAATTGGCCATCAGTTTTAAGTCAATGCAGGATCACACGTGGAGAAAACTACAGAAAAATACTCCAGGAGCAATAAGACTTTCCAATAAAACATTGAGTCATGTATTTTAGGGTGTCAAGATTCATTACAAATGAGTTTGGCACCTTATCATGCATGTCATTTAAATGAATAACTAAATCTGTGTCTAGACTCTTGTGGGATCAAATTGGCCATAATTAATATACATGCATGCACTGTATAGGAGAGATCTTATCTTACAGTTGTGTCTATAATTTGTACTCAAATATTGCAATGGTAGAAAAAGCTCAAATTAGATTTGTATGTATTGATTTTAAAGTACTGCAGATCCACAAGCTTTTACTTTTTTTTTTTCATATGTGCAGCACATGTATTACAAACTGAGCCTTAACAAGAACCAAATTAGATAAACTTAAACTCAATATTGTGACAAAAATAATCATTGTAGAGTAGGCATTCTAGGGCATTTCATGTTTTGCTTGCTGTATAAGGCTCTATTAAGCTCAAACACAGAAGTAGAACCTATTGGTGGCGTAGGATGTGCACTGCGGCCTGTCGCCAACCACCCAAAAAAGATAAGAGCAGGGAGGGTACCATGTCTTGCAGTGCAGTACTAATATGGTTGGCCACGGCTGTTGAATTAGCATGAGTAGATAGAACAAAGGCCCTTGTTTGCAAGTTTGTTTTGCACACTGTATTTAAAAGTACTGGATCAGTATCAGATGTGCGACAAAGAAAAATATAGTTTCCCTTTTAACCATTTCCCCCCACTCCCCCACCCCCACTGGCTCTTCTCAAAAGAAACTCATTGTTTAGTAAATAAGTCCCCAAGTTACACTCTTTTCTCATGTCTTACCTGTCCATTCTGGGGCACACTGGCAGTTGTAGGTGTTCACACCATCTACACATGTACCACCATTCATACATTTGTGGCCTGGGCAATCATCTACGTTTATCTCACAGTTTACACCTTCAAAACCTACACAATGAAGAAGCAAAAATGAACCATGAATGATAAGAATGTGTTGATTTAACACTAAGTGGCTTTAGTTCATGTATTAAATCCCTTCCTTGCTCAGGGCCATGCTCCCTCTCACCTGGCAAACATGCACACTGATATGTAAGATCCCCGGTCTGTCTGCATGTGCCCCCATTCAGACACTGTGAAGGTGCACAGGGCACATAGACCGCCTCACAAAATTGCCCTGTGTAACCACTAGGACAACGGCACCGGAATGAGCCAGGGGTATTTTGACACTGTCCCCCATTCTGGCAGAGCCCAGGAGTCCGACATTCATCTATATCCACCCGACAGCTGCGCCCCTGATATCCTGGTGGGCAAGTACAATTGTAACGTCCATTCCAATTGCTACAGCGGGCTCCATTCTCACAGGGGTTATTGGCACACGCATCAATAAGAGAACAGTCTTGTCCTGGAGAGAAGTCATAAAAAGTTAGAGACAGGTGAGTAACACATAAGCATTTACAGTTTCCTGATAAGCTTTAATCATCATTCCAGTTCTACAGAATGCACTCACCTCTAAAACCTTTGGCACAACTGCACTCATACTGCACAGTGCCACTCCGGATGGAGCTTTGGCAAGCTCCTCCATTAACACAAGTCGTTGGCAAACAGGGATCTTTAAACTGGCAGAACTCTCCAATCCAACCATTGAGACATCTGACAAGAGGAAAAAAAAAACAGATTTAAATAACCTGGTATAATGTAGGCAATGACAAGGACAGTCTCTGATAATAAGACTAAAAGGATGTCAAGAGTCAATGTCAGATTTTGAAAACAATCTTACACACACACACACACACACACACACCTTTTTTTTTAAGGAATGCTGTGCAAGACGTTTGAAGAGGAGGGAAAACCCCAAAATAAAATTAAAACTATAGGAAAGTGTAAACTTCTACTCACTATAAACCATAAAACCACATAGGTCACTGCACAAGTGACAACACCAGACATTCAATCAAAACATTACATTCTTTGATTACAGAGAAATGCCATTTATAATCCTTTGTTTCATTAAACACCCTAATTCTACTTATTTGTCCAAATGTCTATTTTTATGGAGATTTCCTTTTTGGAAGCAATCATTTAATCAAATTATTCATTTCCCATTTTTATTTTTTGCCATTATATATTCTCACCTTTTTTCAGTCTTCACCTATTTACTATTTTCTAGCAAGTCCTTTGGATAAGTCACTGATATAGGTAATGCAATGCGGAATAAGTTGGTGCTATATAAACACTAATCACAAATCACCCAGTGCTCTAGATCAGTGGTCCCCAACCCAGCCTTCATGGACCACCAACAGTCCAGGTTTTGTCAGTATCTCCTTTGGAATAAAACCGAGAAATACATAAATCCTGGACTGTTGGTGGTCCATTAGGACTGGGTTGGGGAACACTGCTCTAGATCATGGGACATGGTTGAACTATTTAAAAAAGGCGCAGAACACAATTTTGTTTAGATCGCAGATCTAGACTGCCATTTACCATGCATGTCATTTTGTTATTTGTGGTATTTCAGTAAACATTAATACAGTAGGCTGGCCAGATATTATGAAGTTCATAATAGATTAGACCAAGGTTAAAGACGTGCTCTGAAATATTCTAAGGCTTCAAATTAGTTCATATTTTTGTCCCCCTCTATTTCTTCCATCACAGGTAATAAAATGAAGGATTTTTTTTTTTTATTGGGAGTTTATAAGATTATATACCTATTCTCCTGTATCTAGTTAAAGTACACGTTGCAACAGTTTACTGCTAGCGTGTTTGTCAAATTTACCATAAAAGGGGAGAGGGGGTAGAGTTACCAAGGGAAGGAAAGGTAATGGAGGGAGGTTGGTAGTATTTATTCTTCACAACTGTCCTACTTGTATAGAGAAACAATCAATATGCCTTTTTAGCAGTGGAGCAAGAAGTCAGAATGAGAACAATGCAGGAACATTCCAGATTTGCCAATAAATTAGGTAACAAGGATTATCTTATCTTTCAATAGAAGAAGAAAAAAAAAGAAAAGAAAAAAAAAGTGTTTGAAATGCAGAGTGGATGGGAAAACTTCACTATAAGGGGAATACAATGCGAAGTTCTAACAAAAAATGCTCAGTGGTCATTCTTGACAAATGACGTCAGAAAACCATGATATCCGTATCAAATCAGAATCTGCACCTAGCATCTCACCATAGAACACACATTACATAGATAAAAGAAAAAAATTTGAGAGAGAGTTACATATCTTTCAAAGAGCTTGGCACCCATCTCTGCAAATAAATATTCTTTACAGTACCCTGGTGCAACCCACATTGTATAAATAATCCTAACACTTGGGGTGCACTCAAAGGATTTTCAATCTGTGAGATAGTTTAATCAGTGCATCAAAAATATGCAAAACTGTCACGACCAATGATTTGACCCCTGAGCGTCTTTCTGGAGACCACGTTTGTGTCCCTGATCCTATAGTGTTCCTTTAAATAGAATTCATCTAAGGCCACAATTATTATATTTTTCAGTTAAACAGGGCAAGAGGCATCCAGGTAATTAATGTGCCAAGAAAACATGACAAATCAGGCAAGAAATCATTAAAATAAGCATAAAATTAAAAATAAATCCGAATAATAAACACAAGGAAAAAATGAATAGATGAAGATGTAAAAAAAAAGACTTGATTGAGTAAACAGGAAACAGAGACTGGTGGTAGTGATGGGGGGTGAAGGAGATTGAGACATGGAACAGCTGGAATAAGTTAACGAGAGAGCATTGTAAACCATTATTGGCTCAAAGATTGCACATTCCCTTTAGCCACGAACATTGAGAAGGCTGCATTAATATGATGCCTAAGAGACTTACAGGGTTATTCACTAAAGTGAGAATTCAACGTAAACTTGAAGATTGAAATGAAGGTCAAAATAGCTTAACTGGAAAAATTCTCTAAGTCAGCTTCGCTTTCAATTTGGCTACTCTGGCCTTAAATTTTAAGAATTCTCACTCTGAGTTTCACACACAGGATACCTCTAATTGTTCTAAAAGAAAATTAGGACATGTGCTGGAGTGTATTTAGTCTACATTTTTTGTGCTTATTTACTAAAGCTCTCTAACTGTGCTCCTCCTTACGTCTCCATCATTAGCAGATATGCACCAGCACAGCCTCTTCACTCAGATGACCTGTTAATGTCTCGCTCTAGCACCTCCAATCCAGACTCCCACCTGCAGGATTGCTCTGTTGAGGATTCAGAAAACAAGAGGCAGATGGGGATACCAATGTTAGGTTCTAGAATACTTAAAGGACCACTATAGGCACCCAGACCACTTCAGCTTAAGGAAGTGGTCTGGGTGCCAGGTCCAGCTAGTGTTAAGCCTCCCCCCCTCACCCCCCCCTTTTTTTTTTTTTTTTTTAAATAAACTGCTATGTTTATAAATGGGTTAATCCAGCCTCTAGGGGCTGTCTCTTGACAGCTGCTAGAGGTGCTTGCGTGCTTCTCACTGTGAAAATCAGTGAGAAGACGCCAGCGTCCATAGGAAAGCATTGTGAATGCTTTCCTATGGACTGGCTGAATGCGCGCACGGCTCCTGCCGCGCATGCAGCCGAAGAGGAGGAGAAGAGGGAGGAGAGCTCCCCGCCCGGCGCTGGAGAAAGAGGTAAGTTTAACCCCTTCCTCTCCCCAGAGCCTGGCAAGAGGGGGACTCTGAGGGTGGGTGGACCCTCAGGGCACTATAGTGCCAGGAAAACGAGTGTTTTCCTTGCACTATAGTGGTCCTTTAATAGAGAAGTTCAAGGACTTGAGTTAATGGGGTTCTTGAATGGACCTCGCTCTGTATGTGGTATGAATCAATAAATAAATTGTGTCCTATATACACACACACAAAAGCAGCCTCTTATTAAGGTTTCCACCATAACAAGTTCAAATTACAATTTTGCAAACACAGGATTAGATCAAGTAGATATAAAAAAAATATGCAGAAGGCAGATAAACACATACATATACACACACACACACACACACACACGTCTTAAATCCTAATGCTACTCTTCGTAGGAGATGTCCTCAATATTCCTCAAATAGATAGAGCTCAAAGAGCAGAAAAGGAAGGCAAGAGTACTATACTTCAAAACACTTTTCAAAATTTTGAAGCAAGTGGTATTGCAAACACTCAAAATTTACGTAAAAAAAAGCCTTTTATATAGTATATTTACCAGTTAAAGGTTTCTGAGATGAGCAAAAACTCAGTTATACCCAGCTCGCACTATATTGCATGACATACCAATATAGAAGAAGTCCCTTAAACAGTAGTTAGAGGTAAAGTAAGTAAAATTTCCTTGTGCCCTCCTGTATACGATTAACATTTCATACGAGAATCAGTACTCGAGCTTCCTGTAATCCGTACAGATCACATTGGATTGGTAACATCCATCCATTTCAGCGTCTCTCCGATTTGCGCGCTCTGTATTGTCGGTATTTACAATTTTAAATACAATGTTGAATAACGAGTTACCTTCCTTTTGTGCCCTATCTACTAAACTATATTTAAGTGTTCTAGTATGCAGCCACGATCATCCTAGGTTCCCAGAACATATGAAGTCCAGTAAACATCTATAATCAGAAAGCAGTAATTAACACTATGCACTGAAATCAGTCATAGCCGTGGTTTGACAACACGAAGTAAAAATGAAAAAGTAGCGGAGTCATCAATGCAATGTTCACTTACTCCCCAATATTACTTTAGGGTTTGTAAGGTGTCTGGGTAGTCCTTGTAGCAATCACAATAAGTTTCCTCAAAGAAAACAGAGAATAAAACAGGGGAAAATCGCCCTGGTGTTGAAATCCTTATGATTAAAATGACAAATATAAACAAAAAGGTGAAGGTTGCTTCTCACCTGGAACAGAGCCTGTAACCTGGCTCTGAGTATGACAGCTTATGAGTCCTATTTAAGGGATGACTCTTGCCCTCTTTTAGCAGGATAGAAGATGTCCCAAGTGTATGTATTAAAAATTGAATTTATTGCATAAACATTAAAAACATCAATAAAATTCATACATTACACTGGTATCTTGTCCAAAACGCGTTTCACCGACCTCTCTCGGCTTTCTCAATTGGTAACTACTATCCTGCACTATCCTTATTTTTTTTTATTCTCTTTTTTTATTCTTTTTTTATTCTGTTTATATATGTGTATATTGCCTTAAGTAAATATGGACACTGCTTATGGACATCGAGTTGCCAGTACAATGCCCTCTAACAAAATGGCTGAATTGACTGATGGATCGAATTATTAACTCTAATTAGAGGAAGAGACTTTGGAATTTGCCATTCAAGAGGAAGCAATCACTATACAATATAGTGCATGATTGGGTTTGAGGATTCCGAAAGTGATGTCATCTACACTCGACACAAATGGACGTGTGGATGCCATGGAGAGGAGGATAACATACAATGTGAAATAGGGGCTTTTCAGATTCCCGGAAGTGACGTCACGCGCGCGATCATACGTGCGAGCGTGATGACGTCACTAATATGGGACAAAGTATCTGACATTGCAGCTCTTCTGCTGCTAAGTAAAAACGTTCATGATTGGCTGAAAAGCGATCTCCTTCCTCCAATCAGGACGAGAGGTGGGGATTTTAATCAGGACTGTGCAGGATAGTAGTTACCAATTGAGAAAGCCGAGAGAGGTCGGTGAAACGCGTTTTGGACAAGATACCAGTGTAATGTATGAATTTTATTGATGTTTTTAATGTTTATGCAATAAATTCAATTTTTAATACATACACTTGGGACATCTTCTATCCTGCTAAAAGAGGGCAAGAGTCATCCCTTAAATAGGACTCATAAGCTGTCATACTCAGAGCCAGGTTACAGGCTCTGTTCCAGGTGAGAAGCAACCTTCACCTTTTTGTTTATATTTGTCATTTTAATCATAAGGATTTCAACACCAGGGCGATTTTCCCCTGTTTTATTCTCTGTTTTCTTTGAGGAAACTTATTGTGATTGCTACAAGGACTACCCAGACACCTTACAAACCCTAAAGTAATATTGGGGAGTAAGTGAAAATTGCGCTACACACCTTTTTCACTATTGCATGCTTGTGTGTATATAGTGTATTTATTTAGATTGTATTGTAATAGGTTTTAAGAGTACCTATTTCTGTGTGAGAGCTGCTGCACTAAGAGCACTTTCTAATTTGTTTTAAGCGCCTTTGTGAACACAGATCACCGTGTGAATTTGTCATCAATGCAATGTGCCCGCTTGTTTTTATGGTGACTGTCCGACTCACTATTTTATAAGACTGCTATGTTTATGAATGGGTTAAGCCTTCCCCTATTTCCTCTAGCGGCTGTCTCATTGACAGCCGCTAGAGGTGCTTGCGTGCTTCTCACTGTGATTTTCACAGTGAGAGCACGCCAGCGTCTATAGGAAAGCATTATGAATGCTTTCCTATGTGACCGGCTGAATGCGCGCGCAGCTCTTGCCGCGCGTGCGCATACAGCCAACGGGGAGGAGAAGAGCTCTCCGCCCAGCGCTGGAAAATGGTAAGTTTTACCCCTTTTCCCTTTTCTCACTGACAGCCGCTAGAGGAGCACACTGAACGTCCATAGGAAAGCACTGAATGCGTGCGCTGTCGCATTCGGAGCCGAGAGGCTGAGGGATCCCCAGCGCCAAGGGAGTCCGGCGCTGGAGAAAGGTAAGTGCTGAAGACACACACACTTACAGACGCATACACACTAGCTAACAGACACAGACACATTTACTGACAGACAGTCAGCGACAGACATACATACACACTCACAAAACATACACTCTCATTGACAAACACACACTCACTAACAGACATCAAACAGACTCACTAACACACACATTCAGTAAGACACACAGTAACACTCACTGACACTCACTAGCAGACACTCACACACTCAAACACCAACACTAGTTTTTTTAAAATTTAATCCCCCCAGCCTCCTTACCTTTTGGAGTGCTGGGGGGATTCCCTGGGGTGCAGTGGTGCTGCTGACACCGGGCGGGTGGCCGGTCGGGCAGGCGGGCGCGCGAGGGAGCACTCAGTGCTTCCTCTTCAGCTCCCTCGCGCGCCGCGTAGGGATGCCGGAGCCGGAAGATAACGTCATCTTCCGGCTCCGGTATCAGTGCGGTGCGCGAGGGAGCTGAAGAGGAAGCACTGAGTGCTCCCTCGCGTGCCCGCCTGCCCGCCCGACCGGCCACCCGCCTGGTGTCAGCAGGGCCAGCCTCGGGGGTCCCTGGGGTGGTCGGCTCCTGGCCCCCAGGTCAAGAGGCTGGCCCTGTGGGTACATACCGGGTCACAGAGGCGGCCGGGCCCCCTGGTGGGCCGGGCCGGTTGCAGCCGCGACCCCTGCGACCCTGGTATGTACGCCACTGTCCCCAACCATCCAGATTTTGGCAAAAAGTAATTGTCTGGTCCCAGTGATGGAACTAATTTAGAGAAGGACCTGTTACAAGAATATTTTTTGGCCCCCCTCTAGTGCAAGAGTGGAATAAAAAGGTAGATCTGTTGTACAACGCCAAAGATGCTATATTAGCTGGGGATCTACTATTTGCCCATCCTTGCAGGGTTGTATTTGCAAGCAGTGTTTGTGCGTTTAAATGTAAGAATGTTTTTGTATATCGTATGTGTGTGCGCACGTGTATTATTTTATTATTTATACAGAGCCAGCAAAATCCGCAGCGCTGTACAATGGGTGGACTAACAGACACATAATTGTAACCAGCCAAATGGACGCACAGCAACAAAGGGGTTGGGGGCTCTGCTCAATGAGCTTTCATGCTAGAGTATAGTGGTGTATTTGTATGTACTATTGTCATTAGAATTCAGTGGTGTACTTGTGCGTAGTGGTTGAATGCAGGGGTGTGTTTGTACGTAGTGTTGGCTTTTAAAGGTAGGTGTGCTTTTGTGTGTAGTGTTTGATTGAAGGGATGTTTGTATATAATTTTAGTGTTTTGATACACTGATGTGTTTGTATGTAATGTTTGATTGCAAGGGTGTATTTGTATGTAATGTTGGCTTTTAAATATGTGTATTATTGGTATTTGAGTGAATGAGTGTATTTGTATATACATTTTGGAGTTTTAATGCAGGGGTGTGTTTGGATGTATGCACATACATACTTACACAGATACACAAATATAAACACTGACACATATACATAAATTCATATAAACAATGACTCCCAGATACACACTGACATACTTGCATCCATGTGCATCCTGACACAATGACACGTCAATTGTTATTTTTGCAGTCACCCTCCTGCTAACAAACCTTTTGTTTCCAGGAGAGTGGCTGCTTGGAGTCCTGCAGGTTGAGGGGAGACAGTGTGGGGTCTGCTGCAGCTCCCCCTCCCCCCAACCCGCTGCCTATGTGACTCTGCCGCCTCCTCCTCCCTCCCACTGCGTTCTGTATGAAGCTGGAAGGAATTGATCAGATGTCACTTCCTCCTGGCAGGCCGAAACTACGAGGGCCGGGTCAGACTTTTAAATGGCTGCGGCGCCCCTGTTCAACAAATAACTGATACCCATTGGGTGGTCAAATACATGAAACAGTGCTCCTTGCAGAGTATTTCCTCAGTGGGTTAACCTTTCATAATTGGCAGCCATACTCGCATGCAAGTGGGTGGACCCTACCCCTTTGGACAGAGACAGGTCTGCATCACAGGCTTTACTACCACACCCAGTGGTGTCCCAATTCTCTGGGCACAGGAGTTGAGAGGTATGCTTTAGACCACTTTTTAGGGGGAGGTTTTGACTCGTGCTCTGTAGTGTTTGGCTTCTGTAATAGGTGATCTCTATGTTAGCTATATTGGCTTTGATGCATTGTACCTGGTCATATTTTCTGTTACTTTGTACTTATTTTTATTGATTTATAATAAAGTGTTATATTTTAGATTATTGGAGTGTGCATCCTTAATTATTTTATATTTATACCACTTTTCTTAACAAGATTTTATATACCAAACATCCTAAATCTTTGGAACACATGGTGTGATTCCCTCCAGAGACCAAAAGTCCATTAAACTCACTCATGATCACTATTATTCTAACGTGTTAATAAAGAAACAGTGTCTGATAAAGTACATGCAGTAAATGTCTAATCATTTTTAATAAACAATTTGTTATACACTGCAGCCTTGCCCAGAATACAGGATAATCTCAAATAAGATGAACTGTTCTGTATGAACAGAAAATGGAGATAAGAGCACTGTCTCAACTGAAAGCTCAAAGGCAGGTTAATAATTTTGGATTAGGGTATGATATGCATTCTGGAAACTTCCCTTGTAGAACAGCTAATGTGCATTATATAAACCTGTAATTAAAAAAATATGCCAAATGAAGTACACACATTCAGAAGACCGAAAAACAGGAAAATTCAAAGAGCAGGGGAAAATGCTTCAAAATGCATTAGATCTCCAGAACCAGAGAGGGATTACAGCTACAGGAACCAACATGTACAGCTGACACACTCCAGACTGGCAAGGGCAGGTGGAGAAACCAGTCCAGATGAAAACCAGATGTTCCTGCTTGCTCCCAATTTCCCACGATCCCCTCTGCTGCCCCCCCTCGTGAGACAGCCGGAGTTCAACAGAACTCTACGCGAAGGGGATAAATATTTTAGTTTCATCCCTTCTGTCTCTCCTTCCAGAAGACCATATGCATCCGGAAGGAAACTAATATGAAAAAAAATAAAATAAAAAATATGTATTCAGAGGAACAAACTTGACTGCCCAGAAGACAATTTGTGGTTCAGAGAAGGCAACAATGCAGACCAGCACTGGAACGTGAGAGTTTGACTGGCAACAATCATTACAGAAAAATGATACAAATGAATATCCTACACATTAGATACGTACATCTCATGTAAAAAGTGTGGGAACAAAAGAAATATGTACCTTTACCATAGGCACTGTTTTATGACATGGCTTATTTACATAGCAACAAATTGTGGTGATACAAAAACGTAATGTAAAACATTAAAGGGACACTATAGTCACCTGAACAACTTTAGCTTAATGAAGCAGTTTTGGTGTATATAACATGCCCCTGCAGCCTCACTGCTCGATCCTCTGACATTTAGGAGTTAAATCCCTTTGTTTATGAACCCTAGTCACACCTCCCTGCATGTGACTTGCACAGCCTTTATAAACACTTCCTGTAAAGAGAGCCCTATTTAGGCTTTTATTGCAAGTTCTGTTTAATTAAGATTTTATCCCCTGCTATGCTAATAGCTTGCTAGACCCTGCAAGAGCCTCCTGTATGTGATTAAAGTTCAATTTAGAGATTGAGATACAATTATTTAAGGTAAATTACATCTGTTTGAAAGTGAAACCAGTTTTTTTTTTTCATGCAGGCTCTGTCAGTCATAGCCAGGGAAGGTGTGGCTAGGGCTGCATAAACAGAAAAAGTGATTTAACTCCTAAATTACAGTGAATTGGGCAGTAAAATTGCAGGGAAATGATCTATACACTAAAACTGCTTTATTTAGCTAAAGTAATTTAGGTGTTCCTTTAAAGAAGTGCTGATTTGGAAGAGTCGTGCAATTGAGCACTAGTCAGCAGGACCGTCATCAGGTGGTACAACCAAGACCCTTGGGTTAAGGGGCCTGGCTGGGTTAAGGGGCCCTCAGGCAGTCTAAATGCACTATAGTATATAAATAGCTTTCATTGATAGACCCTCTCCGGGAAAAACCCATGGTGCTGGCCCGCTACAGGGGTTGCTGAATGCCCTCTTCCTCCTCCTGCAAGCCTGTCATAGGAGAAGTGAGGTCATCACCTCCTCCCAGGACGTTAAGAAAACTGCGCGGGAAGGAAAGAATAGAGCATGCAATGCTTGAAGCTGGATTCCCTCAGAAAAAGTAGGCAACCAGGATGGTGGTTTAAAAAAAAAAATTATATTATATATATATATATATACACACACATATATATATACACACATATATATATACATATATACATATATACATATATACATATATATATATATATATATATACACACACATATACACACACACACACACACACACACACACACCTATATGGTGGCCCGTGCACATACACGGCAGTGTCTGTCTGTCTGTCTCTACCATGCAATGTGTGTGTGGACCCATTAGTAGGTCTGTGTGTATATGTGTTTTGCTCAACGTGAGCTGATAGTAAACAAGACAGAGTTCCAAAATGTGAGAACTAGATTATTCCCCAAATGTGGTCCTTATGTTTCAGTTTAATACGTCCATGGGTCCTGCTGGGTGCTTGCACTGCATCTAGTCTTCTCTAAGCTACAGAAGCCAGTTTTTGCAACGCAGCTACTTGTTGAAGTCATTAATTTACACTCAGGTGGCACAGTCAGTCAATAAACAAACACCTATATACTCAGAAAAGTCCAGATGCAACCATCAACAGGAAGCTGGTTTTATGTGCTTTTTATAAATTGTTACCCAAAAATATTGAAATACAAAAGGATATCTAGTAGACCCCTGCTGCATTTTAAGAATACAGACATGAAAGGCCTCAGCAATTTAAAGGATCTCTTTAAGCAACATAACTTATGATCGCTGTAAACTAACAAAGACAATGGCATTCTACAGAGTGGCTTATGATTTGCAATAACCACTGCAGCCATAACATTGCTCAGTAAGGACTGAGCAGAAAGATTTATTACAACCTTGCTATCCAGCTTCCATCCATCTTGTGTTTGCAGACGCTGGGTGGGTCTCCCAAGTCATGGCATCATACATGAAAGGCTTTGACAGATCAGGAGATTTCTCCACACAACCTAGCTCACAAACTAACAGGGCTAGGAGAAATATGATGGCTTCATAAGAAATAAAAAGCTGTCCATCACTTTAAACCACAGTCATTGAAAAATAAATTTGCCTCAGAATGAAAAAAATATTGAAAAACAAAAACTTGCAACTACAATTCAAGTAAATGTGGTTCATTTATAGAAGGTTAGGTTGGTATAAATTAGTGCTCTAAACGTTTGTTTTATATAAAAAAAAAAAAAATTTACAATGCAATTGCAGAAGTTATGACATGAGGGGCCAATTTCCCAACATCACTCTCACTTGAGTTTGCCCTTATATTTTTGACTAATACTGGTCACCTGGCGATTTTTCACATATGAGTAAATTTATTCTTAACAGCATTTTAGTTTAAAAAAAAAAAAACACATGCATTCCCTTGAGGAGTTGGGAGAATGTTGCTCACTTGTACTAATTTAGTTTATTTCCAATCAGTGAGTAGTAGTTCGTGAAGTCAGATGACAAACAGGAAGCACATATGCACTGATAAAAAATGGTTAAGGAGTTTGGATTGCAGCAATGAAACCTACAGTAATGTGCATGGTGACAGATTGTTTCAGAGCTTCAATAAATTATAAATATCACAATGATACCCACAACCTTCCAGTAGTTGCCACCCCGTGACATGACCACTTCCATTTATGGCCATTAGGTACACTAAAAAGGAATATAAAATCTGTATAGGTAGCTCACAGGCTGGGCCTCACTTCATACTGTATAATTTTTCTTGGGTCACCAAGCTTGTTATTCAATTTAGAACTGCGGAATGTGTAACCATTGTACAAATGTTAAGATTTGTAAGCATATCTGACTACCTAAGCACCTTAAAGGGTTACTCAAAACAACCATAACCACTTCATTTATTTGAAGTCATCACTGAAGTGAGGCTGTGCAGTGTGTTGCTTTGAAATGCAGCACATACGAGTTTAACCAGGAGTAACACCAGCTCGATCACTGGAGTGTCATCAATTCTGTGCATGTTTCTAGGCACAGAATTGCATTCATTGGCTGAGAGCAGACAGATGATGCTCCCAAAAGAAGCCAGATGTACATCACCAAAGTTTGAAGAACCCTCAATGCCCAGCATGGACCCAGGTAAAAAAAAAAAAAAAAAAGCAAAGCATTTGGAGACCAGTACGCATATACGGCAAAACGCAGTGCTGCGCCAATCAAATGGTCTCGGACACCATCTGATTGAAATAGAGATATTTCAGCACTGGGGTCTCTAGTAGCTGTCAGTGTGAAAGTCACTAGATGGATTTTAACCCTGCAATGTAAACACTGCTGTTCCTGCCAAACAGCAGTGTTTTCAGGGTTAAAACTACAGAGATATGGCCCACAGACCACTTCAATGAGTGCCTATAGTGTCCCTTTAAATGTAGTCACCTTTACTAAGGACTACATGAACACTTGATAGTTCAAGACTTTTTAGACCAGTTATACAGAACATCAACATATTTCCTCGTCATTTGTGTTAATGCTGTCCCTTTAAATGGGACTTTCTTCTAACCTTTATTTATAGCCTATACCAATATTGCGCAGTTTCCTGTTTCAAAACACTGGCAGTTCTCATGAGATGCAGGGTTTTAAAAGGCTGTGCACTTTATTCGTGTTTTGTAGTTCTATCTTTTTCAATCAGCAAAATAAGCACATCAAGAACTAGACTGGTTTAATGACGGATTGACATGTGAGGTCAGAAAAGCTTGTCAGAGTTTCACTCCTTAGTAAACCTCAACTTTACCTTCTGCTCTTGTCTGATGCACAAGTGATGGTTTAAAAAAGAAAAGTGTTAAAGCTACACCACAAAAGAAATACAATAAAACAAAAACCAATGAGTTTTAGGTCAAAGCAGTAAACATTTACATCCAATATATCACAATTGCTATATATAACCAACTTTAACCTTCTCTAATTAGCATTGGGCATTGGATAAAACGGATAAGTTAGTACACCAAAAAAAATTAAAAATTTTTTTTTAAAAAAGCTCTTAACGTGGAGGAGTTTACGATACGAACGCCTTTAGAAAAACTATGTGAAAAACATTCAAAATATTTTAGAGATTCCATTGTGGGTGGGTTACAATATTTTCTCTTAGAAGAAATCACTTAATATTGGACCTTAATGGGTTAAACCTTATTTGATTTGGCAATATTTGATATGGAAACAACCTCTTAATAGTAAAATGTTTATAACTTAGCCAGGTGTTGGTAGAAGCAAATACAGAAATACTAAATTAAGCCAAACCTGTTATTTATACGTTTATAGGGATTTAGGATGGCACACAGTTAACTTTTTTCTGTTGGTAGAAGCTATTTCCCCAGAACATTCAGTAAGAGGCTACAACCCTCCCACCCATCTATTTAACTCACCCTCCCAAAAAACCCCACACATTCAAGTTAAAAAGGACACTATAATAACCAAAACAATTTTCGCTTAAAGGACCACTATAGGCACCCAGACCACTTCACTTAATGAAGTGAAGTGGTCTGGGTGCCAGGTCCCTCTAGGATTAACCCTGCCTGCTGTAAACACAGCAGTTTCAGAGAAACTGCTATGTTTACATATGGGATAATCCAGCCTCTAGTGGCTGTCTCATTGACAGCCGCTAGAGGCGATTCCGCGCTTCTCACTGTTATTTTCATTGTGAGAAGACTCCAGCGTCCATAGGAAAGCATTGAGAATGCTTTCCTATGGACTGGCTGAATACGCGCGCGGCTCTTGCCGCGCATGCGCATTCAGCCGATGACGTCAGAAGAGGGAGGAGTCCACAGCGCAGAGGGAGCCTGGTGCTGGAGAAAGGTGAGTGTTTAACCCCCTTTTTCCCCCTTCAGCCCGGCGGGAGTGGGACCCTGAGGGTGGGAGCACCCTCAGGGCACTATAGTGCCAGGAAAACGAGTATGTTTGTTTTCCTGGCACTATAGTGGTCTGTTAATGAAGGGGTTTGGTGTAATCATGCCTATGCAGTCTCACTGCACAATTCTTTGTCATTTGGGATTTAAGTCACTAGCAATACCTATCTGCATGTGACTTGCACCACCTTCCTAAACACTTGATGTAAAGAGACATCTAGTTTTTAAACTTAATGCATTTCACATTATGTTTGATTTAGAATTTGTTAGATGTTGAGAACTGGCAGAAGCCAGTTAAATTTACAGCGCAGGAGATAAAAACTTCTAGTTGAATGGGTACTACAGTCACAAAAAACAACTTTACCTCAATGAGTTTTTGTGTATAAATCATGCAGTCTCCCTGATCAATTACCTGTCATGTAGGAATTAAAGTGACAATATAGGTACCCAAACTACTTCATCTCATTTGGCTAGTGAAAAGAGTTACTGCAATTTAGCGGTCAAATCAAAGATTAGTGGATCCAGATTCATTAACAAAGCTTACAGGCCTTTCAACTTTAACAGCAGGAATCACAGAACTTGCTATGGGCATTATAGGAACACTATAATATCAGGAATACAAACATGTATTTCTGACACTATAGCTCTAAGATTGCTGCCCTCAACCCTATCACAAGCTTAAAAGTTAAGTTGCTCACTTTTTCCCCCCTCAAGCGTCAGGAGGGTCCGGCACGGCTGGCTTCCTCTACCCCCCCAGATGAGATCATTAAACTTCATCTCAATCAAACCAAAGCTTCCCGCATGTGTGGAAACATGCAGTTCTTCACAGAGATTCATTGAATCAATGCATCTCTATGGGAAACAGTGTCATGCTGAACGTAGGTGCTGTACATGGTGCAGTACAGGACTAGAAAGCACCTTTAGTGGCTGTTTCAGTGACTGCCACTAGAGGTGTTACCAGGCAGCAATGCAAACGCTGCCTTTTTTGTGAAAAGGCATTGTTTACACAGAGAAACCCAGCAGAGATAGTCTATAGACACCAGAACCACTACATTAAGCTTTAGTGGTTCTGGTGACTAGTGTCCCTTTAAAAAAAAAAATATTTTTGTCATTGAAAATAAAGCTTAGTTTTTAAAGCTGGCTTCTAGATTCAAAGCAAATATGTCAACCCCTGGTCTAAAGTGTCACTTTAATGTACAGTATTGCTACTATACACTGGATGAGAAAATTATGTGGTGTACGAATGCAGATGTGAACAGAGAATTGCATATACAAATCATTTCATCTTTATAATTGACAGTAATTTGGCTAGCAGAGAGTATAAATTGATCTGCACTTTAAAATGAACCTGTATAATTTTTACATGACAGGTGCACTTTAAAAAGTTTTTCTTTATGATTGTGTTAAATAGGTAAACAGGATTATAAAGCCAGGAGGATAAAAAAAAGAAAAACCCTTCAATTATTTGTTCCCCTGTAAGATCTTGAGGTTTTCCTTTGTAAACTCTGAAGAAAACAGGCCATTTGATCCCACTCACTCCTGTATCACCCTGGCAGGGGAGGGACAAGCTCCACAGGGCACAAGTATTCCAATTAGTCAGACATACAAGATGCCTTTACCTGTGCTGGCTGGTATACACCACTCCGCCCATTTGCACACACATTATTATCCACACCCTAAGCCACTAAACCGACCCGTTAGACAAGTCTTGGGTGACGCCAATTCCCACGGCAAGGGATACGGGTTCTTAAAGATTTGTGTGCATTCATAAAGCAACAGTCTAAAGCATAGTAGAACAGATCACGGATATGCTGAGACAAGAGCAGGGACACCCTCTATCCAAGGGCTTACAACCTAAATGGATTTACATGAAATCACTAGAGGGAGTATTTATCTATATACCACCTCAAGCGGTCATTTTATAACAAATACTAGCATTATTTGGATTCGTCAAAAGTAACAGGAGCTGCAGATAACCCCTCCTTATACTCTGAAAATTACAGGTCCAATAGACTATTAATAAAGTAACTAAACCAAAGTATGGAAGCTCAATGACTTGTGTTTCACCCAAATTGTGGCGGTGTCTCCTTTGAAGGTTCTATGCCAGGCATAGGCAACATTCGGCACTCCAGATGTTTTGGACTACACCTCCTATGATTCTTTACCAGCATTATGGGTGTACGAGCATTATGGGGGGTGTAGTCCACAACATCTGGAGTGCTGAAGGTTGCCTATCCCTGTACTATACCAATTGTTTTATTGCCCATAGGAAAAAGCAGCTTTAATAAAAGGAGTATCAACTTAGGATCCATGTGTGGACAGAAATCAATAGGTCGCTGCCACAAATGCTTCTGGCACATAAGGTTAAACCCATTCTCACATACCAGCACATCTAAAACAAGTTAGTACAGATACATATACAAAAACAAACATACTCCACGTGGACAGCCTTATAAAGCTTTTTTGCCTTACACATAGGTATGCAGTCACATTACTCGTGTTGTGTATGTTGATTAATATAACAGTGCACCTTTATATTCTACGGGAAATCTGACTTTGCATGGTCGAATCAGTTTTCTCAGATAAGTAGTAAATAAACTGAAACACAGATGACGAACCAGGGGTGAAGGAGGTTACAGAAGATGTTTTGAACCTGATCGGGTCCGTTTACTCACAAGGTGTAGGAGTATAATAGGTCTATTACCAAAACGGCAACACTAGCCATGCCTTCCCTAGTCTATTTATAACCTGAATATATACATGCTTTTGTTTTCCTAGTCTATGTGTATGCCACCTCTGCTGTTTCAGATGGTGTTAGTGTGGAGTACATACTGGAAGAAGATGTGCTAGAAGCCTGGCAGAAAATCAAGAAAGAATTTGGCAACAACCTGGAATCCTAGAGGTGGTTTGTGCTAGAGTAATGAACAAAAACTAAAATATACAAAGTCTTTAGTGAGCCATACCATTTCTACCCCTATACATTCTGTGTTAGAAACCTTATGCAAGCTATATGTATTAAATTCCTACACTTCAAAGTCACTTAATATTATGTAGGTCTGATATTTCAGCTCCAGCTCCTCCTCACTGCACCTGTCAGACACTCCCTACTGTCAGCGTCTCGCTACCGCCACACACCCAAAGACAACAACCTGTTCTCCCCCCAGCCGTGCATGCCCCAGGGGTTGCAGAGTATCCTACAAACATGCAGGTACAGAACAGAGAGCAGCAATACCAGCATCCGCTTCACACAGTACAGGCTACAGAACATACAGCATGAATACCTAGGCAGCAACACAGCCACACCATATACATATGGGCAGCAACACCAGCTACACAATACTGAAGCACACACAAAAGCAGCAAGAGCATGAACCCTATCTATATATGCAGTACAATATGCATACTGTGCTGTGTGTTTCTGATGACTGAAAGGTAAGCAGACAATGTAATAGAGCAGCAGGAAATGCTAGCAGAAGGTCTGGGTGCCAGGTCCCTCTAGGATTAACCCTTTTTTTAATAAGCATAATTTCAGAGAAACTGCTATGTTTATAAATGGGTTAATCCAGCCTCTAAATCCTCTAGTGGCTGTCTCATTGAGAGCCGCTAGAGGCGCTTGCGTGCTCCTCACTGTGAAAATCACAGTAAGAAGACGCAAGCGTCCATAGGAAAGCATTGTAAATGCTTTCCTATGAGACCAGCTGAATGCGCGTGCAGCTCCTGCCGCGCATGCGCATTCAGCCGAAGAGGAGGATCAGAGCTCCCCGCCCGGCGCTGCAATAAAGGTAAGTTTAACCCCTTTCCTTGCCATCCAGCCTGGCGGGAGGGGGACCCTGAGGGTGGGGGCACCCTCAGGGCACTATAGTGCCAGGAAAACGAGTATGTTTTCCTGGCACTATAGTGGTCCTTTAACTTTTTTTACCTGGTTCCTAGATACCACAGGCAAACTGATAAATGCAAACACATTTTTACTTACAAGCAGACAGCCTCTCCATTTGAATACATTGTACATCTGGCTCCATTTTGACACGGTCTGTAGGAATCCAAACACTGAAATCCTGTAATTACAAAAGATATAATGTTAAAAAAAAGAAATTCTACCAAAATCTAGCACAGAAAGCAAAAAAGTTGGGACAGGCATGTCAGGTTTCAATAGAATAGCAATGGATACAACAAGAGACCACTTCACGTAGAGCAGGACAAAGCATATTACCCTGTAAGTGATACAGGATATGTGAGAAAGCTTTAACCCCTTAAGGACCAAACTTCTGGAATAAAAGGGAATCATGACATGTAGTGTCCTTAAGGGGTTAAAGTAATGGTACATCCAATGATAAGTTGGTCCGCATATTCAAAGGGTTAAAATTTTACAGCCATTTATGACTTTTGTTCAATGTAATAGATACCTTGTTGGTATGTTAACACTTTCATGACTTAATAGGATGTGCCAATCCTTTGATGTGAAGGGGTTCAACTGAGGAACCCAAGTCCTTGGATGCAACATATCACTGGACAGATGATATTACAGAAGTAGTTCGGACATGGAACAGTGAGCTAGCTAGAATCACCAAAACATTAAAAATACACAGATGATGCATGGCATTCCAGGGACAGACTGAGAAACTATGTGGTAGGATAGTGTTAGATTTCATACACTGTACAATCAATACCTGGCTGAGATAAAGCGTTGAAATATATTTAGCAATATCAAGTTGCAGATAAAGCAGTTGGATAACTGAATAATAATTTTTTTAACTCTCCTTTGCAATTTAAACATAAGCGGCAGAAAAAACACTTCTTGCCACAACTCCTAATACTACTACTAGTACACAACAGGTTAAACGAGTGGTTTTCTTCTTTGCCAACTGATATTTCAACTTAAAATTCAGAAATTGGGGCAACCCCCACTCCTTTGTTTAATGCCAGCTTTGATAACAGCAACCCTTGTATGAGCCCCTGGCGAGGCACAGCTGCAAACAACTTTAATAGTCAAGAAAAAAAAATATATAATAAAAACAAAAAAACCAGGTCTTTGTAACGAGATGTGGGAGTCCGTTTGATGAAGAGGTTTTGCTGTTACACAGGGTCACAATGGGCCTCATACTGCAGTCTCAGAACCCAAACTATTGAGGCAATGTATACAGCCAGGCCTCTTGTGAAAGGGGGTGAACCTCCTCTCCTCAAAAATGAACGTTTGCATATCCCTTTTAATAATACGCTGAAGAAGCAAAGTGTGAACTCTTTAAAACACCATCCGATTTTATATCCTGGCAAGAAACCTCCACACTTGAAAGTGAACTGTGAAGACTAACCGGCTAGGCCCTTTTGTTTAAAGGCATTTTATGAGAGTTTTACCCCATATGTCACTGCACCAATCTAGTCAGAAAATGTTGGTCTATTTCTGAAGCTGAATGAGATGTCCACTTCCAGCCACCAGTGTAAATTGCCAACCATTTGTCTACATGGCTGATATTATGCTGGACAATTTGGTTGTTAACTCACTGGTAAGTTAATTGGCCTATATGAAATCTGCCCCCTCCCTTAACCCCCTCTCCCTCAATTAAAATGGACATTAAAAAAGGCATCAAGACCACTTCTTAATGAAGTGGTATGGATGCAGATCCCATGGCGTCTTAGCCCTGTCAGACACTAGAAGCCCCTTCCCACTGATAACCGTTTGACACCTTTTTGGAACGTTGGAAGCATTTGCGTGGATACGCATGGCGCTCACTGCGCATCCACTTCTCTATGAAAAGCATTGGAATGTACAAATAAACAATGCCTGCTGGATGAGGTTTTAATTTAAAGGAACACTATAGGATCAGGAACACAAAGGTGCTCCCTTCAATAAGAAAACTTACCTTATTACCAGCATTGTGCGGGTCTGCCGGTGCTGGCCCCGCACCTGATCTGCTTCCTCGACCGACAATACAATTGATTATCTCAGCCAATCACAATGCTTTCCCATAGGAAAGAATTGTATTGGTTGAGATTGCCAATTCTAATAATCTCAGCCAAGGAGGTGTGGTAGTGGGCAAGGCCAAACCTCGCCCAGCCAATCAGCATTTCCTCAAAGAGATGCATTGAATCAATGCATCTCTATGGGGAGTGTTTAACGTCTGAAAAGCCTGTAGGGATATGCTGTACTCACCAGAACAACTACATTAAGTTGTCGTTGTTCTGGTGACTCAAGTGTCCCTTTAAGTTGTGGGGGCCCTCTAATCTAAATAGTAAGGATATGCTAATGTTAGGAATACTTGTTTGAGTCAAGTGTATCACAAACTATTATCTACCACCTCTGATGCAACTATTTCATATATATTTTTTATTTGCTTCTGAGGCTTGTATTCTGCAATTTAGCTGTCAAATCAAGATTTAGTGCATAATCCCCTAAATAATTTAGGGTTTATCCAGATTCATTAACAAAGCCTACTAGACAAACTTCGCAACAGGAATCGCAGAAGTTGCCATTGCCATTTATTAAACCTCATGACCATTGCTAGATACAACCTTTCATATTAAGCAAGTCCTAATACGTGATTGGCAATGAACACTTTACAATTTACTTCATACATTGCTTAAAACTCTGAAAAACAAAAACAAAAACCACTAAATAGTAACAGCACAGTTTTACAGCTAGAGTTTTTTATTTTATATGGGTCTGTAATGGAATAACCTTTCCCAGGCTCCCCCTGCCCCCACCCCTCCCCAATATGGGTTGTCTTCTACAAACATCTGTCTACCACTGCTCATAAATCCCCAGTCTAACCTATTAGGTTAAATAAAATCATAAGGGTCTTGAGAATCAGGTTCCCAAAGTACCAGTTTAGCATTTTGTTTTAAAAAAAAAAACTATAGCATTTCTACAAATCCTCTTATTATGCATCTAATTACATATTTTCCAAGAGTTCCTATTTAGGAGGGACAGTCCCTATTTTGAGCATAAACCCCTCCTACCCGTCTTTTCTATTCTACTTTTTCTAGGAGCTTCTGATGTGAGTGTATAACAGAGTTCCACAGCAATAACACTCACAACAATGTGTCTAACCTACAATAAAACTGGCCAGAAATCAGTCTGTGAATAAGATGCATTCCATTTTTTTCCTTCTTTTCAAGAACCCAAATTTTGTATACAGCACTAGCTTCATGATGCATTCTGCAACTGTAAAATGCAAGCAGTGAGCCATTCATCCATCTGAACATGCAGATTATACAATATATGATAACCTCAATCATATGAAGTGTGTTGTTGGTACAGGAGTATAACCAACATGGAGGACATTGACTTATAGCATAGTAGCATACCCTCTGAGTTATTGTCAAACTCTGCTAAAGGCAATACACACATAGAATCAGGTTTAAAAACAAATAAATAAAAATGACACGATAGACGTTTATATGGAGATGGATTGTCAAGATTATTTATAGATACTCCGCAGAGATGTACAAAGATCATCAATAAAGATTTTGCATAGAAGTACTGACTATCTACAAGATTTGTCAGCCTCTCCCCCTTCACTATTAATCATTACGTGTTTCTCTCTTTCTAGTTAGTATTTATACGTAGACAACTTGTACATAAAAGTAAACAAAAGCAGCTCCCCCCCCCGTCCCCCGTCCCCTCCCCCTCAAAAAAACAAAAAACAACCCAAACTAAACAAAAAAACATTTGAGTTTCGGAGGGAAATCGGTGAAAATGGAGGGAAAATGTTTGCATGCCTGATTTGCAGGGTAAAATTTCTAAAAATGCTTTAAAATAGTTTTATGACCGACAATGCCAAATAAATTCAGGTTAGTAAAAACATATGGCATGCCACTGATTTACAGATACTTTGTGGGAGTGAAGGCTACTTAGGATGCGTTTCTTGAATAAGTTGCTTTAGCCTAGAAGACATGTGACAATTATGCTAAAAGACCTTTGTCACAGTGATAAGATCACAAAAGAGACAATGGCTGTTTAGCAATGCTGAAAAATGCACAATGAAGAGCTCAGTCTTCTCTGCAGAGTCTTGTGTGCTCTGGAACCTGTAACAATGGCATGCAGAAACTCAGACAGGAGGTAAAAAGATCAAGCAGATTTTCGAATACATAGATTAGGACAATACAGAACGCATTGCCCAACTATATCTATATCAATCACAATGTTTCTCCATCCTGAACATTTACATGATATTTCCTTTTTTTTTTTTTTTTTTTTAAAGATATGTTATAAACGCTACATATTTTTCATAAGGCAATTTCTTTACAAAAATGAGGATTATAGGAGAATTCCAAGGGTATTACCAATTTCAAGCTATAAAAGCCAAAACTGGGGGACAAGTACTCTGCTTCATTTCTAGCTTGGCCAATTCTAATTATTAGTGCAATTCCTTTGCCCAGTTTTTATAAATCCTGGTTTACTGAATAAATTTGTGTTTTTTCCCCCTCACTGTTCATTGAACTTTGCAATGGTGCGTCCACAGTTACCGCATCATACGAGTTGGCCAGCAATTAAATATACATTCCTTTTCTACAGCGATCGCTAGGGGCAAAGATCATACACAAAGCCTTGTTTCGACAATAGGTATAGGTGGCTGAAATAAGCTGGTATTACAAGACATCTTTCCAAAAATGGGACAAAATATCAAATTCAACTTGTCCACACCTGAAGGAAAGGAATTGACTTTCCAACTGATTAATGGAAATGTGCCTTAAACGCAGAGTTTGGCCAGCATTTGCCTTCAAGGAGGAGGGGCAATCTTTTTTCTCTCTTCAGAGTGATACTTAGCAGATTTGCTCAGTGACACAAAGTTAAATGCATAATTAAAAGTTAAAGAAATGTGGCAGGATTATGGCCATATAGAATGTGGTTTTACTTCTAATGTCTTGAAAACGGTCCAGCGACAACAAGGATGGGTATAGCAGGAGGGTATAAGATGTTGACTTCGAATAGGGGATGATTTAGGCGCGCATGATTCATCCAGATGTATGTACTTGGCACTTTATATTGTCACTTTACAGGATCCATTCGTGTAGACCGCAAAATACCTCCTAACCAATGTAACCAGAGCAAAACAGGCAAGTACACATCTGTACAGTGGCTAGGGCAGGAGAGAATACATTAACAAAACTGTAGGTGGATTGCATACCATCAAAATTAATATGAAATATGACTTTAATATTTACATTTTGTAGAAATTTGGCTAGAACAATATATAAACCAGGCTTCAAAGTAGCAGGAAAGTTATTTTGAGTGTGAGTATTTGATCCTCAAATCAAATCCAGAGAAAAGCAATGTGTTATGCTCTGCTCTAACACTTAGAGGGTGAAACCTTTACAAACAGTATTTTTTAAATTACTTTTTATTTGACCTTTGTATTTAAGTTTTTTGTTTTTTTAAAATCATCTTTGGTTTCACTTTATATGTGACCATAGGCAATTGGTAGAGCTTAAAAGGTTACCCAAAAATCATGACTACTTTAGTGATTGAAGTGGTCATGGTGCCTGGATTATGCATGTACATAAACATGTAGTTAGAAGTAGATAGATACAAGAGGCATCAAGAAATTATTGAAGTAAAAATTTAAAGGATAGAGGGGAAAAAATTACAGCTATTTTAATAAAACATGTCACTAATAATGGTAAGCAGTGTTGCAAATAGTGATACACATTTAGCAAGAGTGACTTACTGGCAAATAATTAAAAATTTCATACAAATCAAGTTTTTTTACTTATACACACACTTTATATAAAAAAAATAAAACAATAATAATCAGAAAATACAATAGATCTGACCTTGTGAAAGGAGGAGGATAAACAAAAAAAACAAAACAAAAAAAAAAAAACACTAAGCTGTGCTGGGACAGGGTTAATGGGGCCTTCACGTTGTAGGGTTTTCTGTTTTGTTTTAGGGTGGGGAGCCGTGGGAATGTCACACCTCCAAAGATTATTTACGGGGATTCAAAATTACGGGTGGGGTTTCGTTTTGTGGTTTGTGTTAACCTGAAATCTTAGACACATACCTGCTTTTGAAATGGGACAATGAGTGCGTCAGCCCTATTGTAATCCTATTAAATAGGGCTGGTGTTACTATATCCACTGAACTTCACATACATGCTGGTCCTGCCAGCAAAATGCATACAGAAAAGAAACAAAACCTTTTTCTATTGGAAGCTCACGGGAGATGGCATAAGGATCCAGAAAAGACTACACCATACAAATCTCATTCTTGTGTAAAAATAACCAACCAAAAACACATACGCAAAACAGACCACAAAAATAAATAAACAAAAACACACAATTAACTTTCTCAAAATAATTAACAAAGTACTAACAAGGTAATTACATGGTTTGTGCTTAGAGGGAAACCGTCAGCACTACATTTAGTTTTAGCGTTTATGGTGTGAGAAGGATGCAGGTGCCATCTCTGTTCTAGGTCCACAGCTGCAAGCAGCAGTATGTATTGGTTATGGGGCTTAGACTGTCATTTTAAAATATGATTCTAAGTTTGGATTAGTTTGAACAGGGTAATCAGCAGGTTTGAAATCAAGTGTTATACTACTAATCTATAGACGTATCCATATATCCAAGCTTGAAGACGCAAGATGCACTCAAACATTAACTACCAGAAAGGGCCAACTTGTAACCTCACAAACAGCATGAACTCTTTGGGCTAAACCTGGTTCTATGAATACTCCTTTTGAAATCTTGCTTCATGAGGCCATATTATTTTATTATTTATATAGCGCCAGCAAACTCTGTAGCGCTGGGTGGACAGACAATTGTAACCAGACAAATGGACGCACACGAACAGAGGGGTTGAGGGCCTTACATGCTAGAGAGAGTGGGGTATAATGACACAAGGGGTACAAGTAGGGGTAATGAAATAGGTTTGTAGAAAAGTAATCACTGAGAACTTAGATGGTTATTTTTGACAGTTGCAGGAGAGAACTCATGGGGGGGAGGTAGGAAACAGAGGGGGAGATAAAAACCCTATGCTTTCCTGAAGAAATGTGAAGGAGTGGAGACTGGGTGAAAGTAACGGAGAAGGGAAGGGAGTTCACAGTTTAAGGAACATAATAGGAATACAAAGCTGGAACACTACAGTGTGCCATTGGCAAGTGAAGTGATAAATAGACCCTTTTCCCCCTCCCCCACACTTACCCTATTCCAGGGCAGAGGTCCCTCAGCACTGACTGTTTTCTACTACGTCAGCAAGCACATTAGGCCTTCCCTATAGGAAGGCATTGAACCACCGCTTTCGTATGGAGATTTGCAAGATGCTAGACATTCTCATGCAAAGTTTAGCCCTGTGAAACTGTAGTAAGCGCCTCTAGTGACTGTCTGGTAGACAGCCACTAGAGGCAGTCTTAAACCTGCACAGAAAACATTGCAGTTTCTCCAAGACAATGTTTTCATCTGCTGTGTTAAGGCAACAAGGAAACTGCACCCAGATCAGATGGTCTGGGTAAAACCCACAAGTTGGTACGCAAACCAATATAAAAGAAATACTAAAACAGTTTTAAAATACTTATTGAAAATGTTTTGCTTTAAATGTCCTTAGAATGCAGAGCATCCATATGGTTTTATTCAGGACAATCACTTTTAGTCAAACTAACATTGTCAGAGTGCAATGAGTGCCACTCTCACTTTAAAGGCATTATAAGGATCAGCGCCTTGGGGCGATGGATCCAATTAATAGTACTGGACTGGGTGCCTATAGTGTCCATTTAAATTAGTTTTGTGTATTAACCTCATCAGGTAGGCTGGAGATTAAGCGGTATTTGTGTCACCAGGTGTCCAAAAAAAAATATTCCCAACGTTATAGTATCCCTGTCTACATTTATATAGGTTGCACCACTTCCCACCCCCAAAACAACTTTCTCAATTATAAAAAAAAAAACACAGAGTGTGCGCGCGCGCCTGCCCGCCCAAGAGCCTGCGAGAGAGCGCGCCTGCCCGCCCGAGAGCCTGCGAGAGCCTACGAGCGAGAGAGTCTGCGAGCGAGAGAGAATACATTTTTTTTCTTATTATTCTCAAATCTTCTCTCATTTCCTTAGACAGTTTCCCTTTCTGTGGTCTTGAAAGAGGCTGCTATATAGTTCTGCCCAATCTAGCCATCAATAATCAAGATGACCGTTATATCTATAGCTATGGTTTTTATAGGCCCTAGGAACCCCTAAAGCAGTGTTTCTCAGATACAAGATGACTGACAGCACATGCTTCATCAGATGTGAAAAATGTGTTTTATAGGAAACAACCATCCCGTTTTACTTTATGCTTTAAGATTCCAACGGCATTGGTAAGGACGATATCCTCTGGGAACTCATGCTGCATGCATTCCGTCAACAAACCTAAAAAGTGTGGGAATCATAGGAATAACAGTGCCATCTGACGAAGTTTAGCTGGCCTTCGGAAAAACTGAGTGGGTTATACTAAACAATAAACAAATCTTTCAGCAATCAGAGTTTAGGATTTTTTCCCCCAAGGAAAAGAAACACTAAAATGTATATTTCACAAAACAAAACATTACTCATTTAAAATATAAGCTCAAATACGCTGACCAAAAATTGTATACTCTGGGATGATCAATGACTAAATATTAGATAAATTCAAGAGCGGACTAAAAATAAATAAAATCCTTTTTAACGCAAGTGACATTAAAACTTTTAAATACTAGATTAGGACGGTGAAAATTAAAAAGCATTAGCTCCAATTCAAACTAGTCAGGGATATTATAGGGCTACTATGAAGTTCATCTGTGTCATCATGAAAATAATCTGGAAATTACCAAACATTTGCAGTATTTTATTTTTTTTAGATCAATGCATTTTGGGCAGTTCATTTTAAGAGGTTAATACTATAACTTTTGGAATTTGTTTTGTAAACCAGCATACCTACATGTAGTGCTGAATAATCACACAAAATTAACTGGGCGCATTCTGTGCTTAACCTCCAATCTTTCACAAATGTTCTGATTATATCTGGATAGATTTTACATAGAATAGAGTTAGAAGTGTCCATTTTTAAGTGGCCATTTGTTTACATTTTATTTAAAGACACAATATAACCAATACGGACAAGACAATTAGGCCATAGACAGCACAGTGAACAAATAATGACAAAATAAACAAAATACATAACAAAGGAATCACAAATGTCAGAATAGTAGCCCATAACAATGGCAGAATTTCACAAGACGTTACTTTTAGACCACTTTAGAATTTTAACACCAACAGATAACCCCCCCCAAAAAAATTTAAAATTCAGTTTTCAGATCATTTTGATAAAGCACCCCCACTCTCCCATGGCATTTAGTTAGACTAGACAAGCATGCCATGGGGTGGTGTGAATTAACATAGCCCCACCTTCTCCTCCATCCTGATGGTCATTTATTAATGTGTATTTAATTTGACCCCCATAACCTCCACTCATCTGTCTGGAACGGTGAGAGAAGCGGTGGAGGAGGGGGCAATCTATACCATACCAAGCAAATCAGGTTCAACATATTTCAAAGCCCAGAGACATTTTCTATACATTATTTTTTTTTGCTTCAAACAGGCTTTCACAACTATCAAACAGAAGAAAAAGTGGACAACAAAAGCAAAAACCTTGCTACTTAGGAGCATTTGCTGGCCTTGACATAATGTCTCGAGCACACCTCAATTTTATCTATGTTAAATACTGGAAGGCTCATACATAAAAAATAATGTTAACGCACAGCACATTACACACTAGCAACATAATAGTCTAGTGGGTAAAGGCTGCACAGGCCAGACAAAACGTTGACCCGTGTTTCATGCACCAATTAATCTAAATATTTTTGCATAGAGGCTTGAAAGTGCCAGTCTTGTTCAATACCCTCTGTATAAGGGCACTGTTCTCTAAATGCTGCACCAAGTCACGTTAATCACCTGGAAGCATTCAAATAAGATTTAGCTTTTTCATTGCCAATGTGTAGCAGATTTTATGAAGAAGCCATTTTAGGTTTCAGTAAAGGAATTCAGGCCAGGCAGAACTTTCAATTACGCATGAGTGTTCTGCATCACCACTCCCCCAGACACCTGGTCATTCATCACACAATTGTTGCCTTACCAGGATTTTACCTGAGATTCTATGGAAGCATTAAAATGGCTTGTATTGAGAAACAAAGGATGAAAATATTTTCAACCATAAATCTCCAAGGAACTCTCCATGGGACACACAAAAAAAAAAAGCAAATAAATTTTTTTTTTTTTTTTTTTTAAATGAAACTTTTAGAAAAACTCAGGGGGTAGGGGGATAGAGAGAAATGGCAGGTTCTAGATTATATTATTTATATAGCGCCAGCAAATTCCATAGCGCTGTACAATGAATCTATATTAGTTTAACTTTTAGTTAACACCACAGCAAGGAGTGAACTACAGAAGGGAACTATATTTGGTCCATGTTCACAAACAGGAGCACTGTTTCCTTGAAGCTACAAGTGGAGGCCCATACAGTCACCTACAAATCAGTTTGTTCTTCCATTATTTAATATGTTGTTCTTGATAGTCGGAACCGTACACATTTAGCTTAGTAGATCAGGATCTCTACAGAATGTTTGTGGGCATCTGGGGAATAAATTTTTTTGTGACTTTTGTAATGGGCTTAACTCATTTTTTTTTAAACTGTTTCAGATATCACAATAGGAAAAAAAAAAAAAAAAAAACACAAGTGCAAGAGTCAATATTTGTAAATAGATTCATGTAGATAAAAGCAGCCTAGAGGCAGTAAACAGCATTTCTGTCAAGTGTTTAGAGGAAGGGCAGGAAGAGATTACTATAGATGACCTGAGGGGTTTAGAACTTAACAGGCCTAGAGTGATGATGACATGCAGGTGGGCAAGAGATGGATGGTGTGTTATAAGGTCATACAGAATAGGCAGGAAAAAGTGAGGATTACATGGAATAGGCAGAGGAAAGTGTTGCAATACTTGGATAACGACAAGTGAGCTTGGAGACAAGTGCTCTGAGGATCTGAAAGCCAAGCACAGAAACTGCAAGTCCTATTTGGAACACATGAACGGGGAAGCATTGTGTGAAAGATGGCACAGGGAAAAGGGAAAGAATTGAGGAGCAGATGGCTCATTGGGTACATAGTGGTGGGAGGGAGACTAAGAGGCAAGGCAGATGATTGAAGTGTGTTTCATCACTGGAAAGGAGAAAGAAAGGGGGTGCGGGGCAGGGGGATGGGGTTCTCTACTGTACTGTGAGTCTGACACATGACCTCTGTCCTTTCACACAAGGAAAAAGCACTATCCAGTAATAAAAACTACACCATGCATGCCTTAACTAAGATGGGTGAATCGGTTAGCAACAATGTACGTTTTCAGCTTGCGAAACAATTTTAAGTTAAACGTCATTGGAAAACTATTTAAGGGGATATAGTGAGAAGGAGATAGGATACAGATCGAAAATATATAGGTATACACAAAAATAAAACAGTACGGAGAGAGAAAAAAAAAAGATTGAAGTGGGAAAGACTTTAAATGTCTGAGGCAAAACAAAAGGATTAGAGACAATTAAAATAAATCTGGACAGTGTCTAGCATGACGCAATTTACACATAAGAAAAAAACCAGAGTGTTAGACAAAAAGGTATTTAGATTAAAAAAAAAAAAATGAGAGGCAACATAAGGAATAAAAAGACAATGGCAGTCAACTATGAGCTAAAACATGGGGTGGGGAATTAAAAAAAAACAAAAAACTAATTGCAAATTTTCAAATGTGGGACAATAAATATATCGGATGGAATCAGAAACACTTAAGAAAATTTAATCAGAATAGGGGAGTGAGCAGACATAATTTTACAAAGTATTTTCTTTTATAAACACAAGTTTTCCCATAAGATTTTCTGGGAGTAATGGACTTGGAATTATATTTTCTGTAACTCTTGACCGAATTCTTTATTCCATGTATAGCAGCTGAAATTCAATGGGATTCATCAAAATCATTGTTCGATTAGTGTGTTTAGACCCAAGATAGATAATTATTTGCAGACATTCCAACTGACATTTGAAAGTCCTCCAACATTCCTGTGCTGCTTTATATATATTTTTTGTCTGTGTGTTTCACTCATTTATAGATTAAAATTACTTATATGACCACATTACTTGTATTTACTTTTCTGCAGTATTTACAAATAGATAATATAATAATGAAAATTAAGTATAAATTCAGCAAGCCTTGCTGCCTCATCTCAGAGGCAAAGCATTACAAAAATTCCTTTAACCATCTTGAGAATATATTTTTTTCCTCTCCCACATCCCTTTGAATAGGGTCCTTTCTTCCTCTTAGCCCTTTCCCCTATACCCAAGGTCCTCATTAAAATGTCAGAAAAGGGAGAAAGGGAACTTAAAAAAAAAAAAAAAAAAAATTGCATATACATATAAAACCCGTCCTCTGCTCCCTGAGAAATTTGAGTCTCTCACTCCCTCCTCCTGCTTTCCCAGACAGGGTTTTAGAGGGGAGGAGAAAATTCCCATAGAAAAAAATGGACATGTGTATTGTTCCCCATCAGACTATAGGGGGGGGTGGAATTAATCAGGGAATAGTCCTAAGCAATCCGTTAACTCCATGAGTGCCAGGGGCTTAAATTCATGGGTTTGAGAGACAGGGTGAGCGAATTACAGGCATATATGGCTTTTAGGTACTTTGGAAAAGAAGAGAAGAAAAAAAAAGACAAAGATTTCCAACAATCTATTTGGCTGAAGACTTTGTGTCTCTTTCAAGAGAAGTGGGACGGGCTACACACTGCATAACTATGCATGGTCATACCTCGAGTGCTAAACGCGCTGAAAAGAATAAAAAAATTTTTAAAAAAAAAAAACAATGCAAACATAAATGGTACTGCCAGAAGGAGAAAGGCTATGGGGTGGGTGAATGGGAAAGCAATCACTATGAGGACAGAGATGAAATGGTGAAGACAGACTTGGGAAAAACTAGAGGGCAGCCAAGAAGTACCACAGCATCAGATTTCAACTTACAAACCACACAAGCAGGGTGTGTTCTAAAAAAGGAGAGCATGCCACAGATAAAGATGTGGAAACAGAGCCTTAGGAGAACGGACATTGCTGAAGGAGAGGGCAGGGCTTCTGAGAGTTTGTTTGTAACCCCATTTGTTCAAGTTTTCTCCTACTTAGACTACACAATGGCACAGGTGGATTACCTACAGGCCAACCTGTGCTAGTGAAGGGAAAAAAAAAAATATGTAAAAAAAAAAAAAAAAAATGAAGACTGCAATGAGGATTTTTTATTTTATTTTTAAAATGATTATATATATATATATATATATATATATATATATATATATATATATATATATATATATATATATATATATATATATTTTTATTTATTTATTTATTTATTTATTTATTTATTTATTAGTGGGTTTACCAAAAAGCCAAGGAAAAGAGTACAGAAGCAAACGGAATAGCATGAGCAATTAACAAAAACATTCATATAAATGAAAGGTCACTCAGGGCAAATAAAGGAGGGGAAAATGAAGGGAACTATGGCACTAAAAAGGTACACTTACAACACCATAACAACCAATTTTTATTGCTTAGTTTATACTGCAAGGGGGTCTCCATGGTATTGTTTAACAGAAGCAATTTATTTTTTGCACAAATGGCCGCAGTTATAAGATACCCCCTTAAATGCAGACTAAAGGGAGACATTTTACTTTCTGACTCTCCACCTAAGTGCTTTCAACTTGGGAATATGGCATGCTTGTCAACACAACACCTCCATATCAGCAGCGGCACGCAAACCAGCTTTAGGAACCTGTAGTGCACATAATTATATGTTTTGCGTAAGTTAATGCATCAAACGTTGATTAAAGTATGGAGTGTCCCTTTAAAGCTAGATAACAGCAATATAAAAAGGCTGTAATGGTACTAGAAGGCCATAAGAGACAACTTGCAAACTAGCAAATGACAACTCAAGCCGGGAGTAATAATGAAGGGAATCACATGGCCCCACTGGAGATGAAAGGGTTAGCACTGTAGGTCTGGACTGGATGGTGGGCATGGAGAACCAGATAATTGAGGGGACCAGAGACACAGAAGAGGGGGAGGGTACAGAAAGCAGCTCTGCTGCAGAGGATAATGCCAACAGTGTACTAAAGGATGAGGGAAGCAAACAGCACCACAAGGGGAAAGAAAAAAAAAAAAAACAAAGACAGAAGCACAGACCATTGCACAAGAACAAGGAGCAGGACAAACATGCATTAATAAAAAAAAAAAAAAACTTGTGCAATCCAACACACAACCCTATACTTTACTGCATAACGGGAGTTGTAGTTTATAATAGATAGGGTGTCGAAGTTGGGTCATTCTGCAGAGGACAAGCATTCATAGAGGGACAGGGATGGAAAACAGGCAGCTACCTCTCCAATTCTTCAATAACTACGATTTACACAAACCATCGATATAATTTAGCCCAGGTGCAAATTTTAAAAGGGAAAAAGATAAATAAAATAAAATTAAAAAAAAATCAAATATGGTATTACATCAAGCACAGGAGCAAGAGCTACAGAATTTAAAAGGTAGTAAAATGTGGACACCTGTAACTATAGTGAACTACTATAAAAAATTTTTTTTAAAAAGTAAGCCAAAACATACTATGTAATTTCCAATGGCTTGTGGCAACATTAGGGTAAATATCAAGCTGTTCATATCTAACAATGGCAGACTTAAAGGAACACTCCAAGAACCATAACCACTACTTGTTGCAATGGTTATGGTGCCAGGAGTGCCCTGGATTCATCCCATTGTAAGCAGTCAAACTGTTTCTGAATAAGGTCTGACAGGAGCCAAACCTCATCTCCACTATTACAATTGGAGAGATTGAACCTTTTAAAGAGGACACTATAGGCACCCAGACCACTTTAGTGCAGAGTCCCTGTCCAGCTTAACATCGTGAATCTGGTGTCTATAGCATGTCCCTGTTCATAGAAGAGTCCGTGTGTACATTGGTGACTAGGAACACCTCACTCAGATGGCCACTAGAAGAGATTTCTAGTAAAGTGCACCACAGGCGTTCACAATCTCTACACACTGAATTTTCCCCCGTAGAGATGCATTGATTTGCCGATTGATGCAGAACATAATGTTGCCAAGCATGCAAAATAGCTTTCCAATGGTTTCCTATGGGAAAGCATTGGATTGGCTAAGATCAAGATGATCTTAACCATGGAGGTGGAGCCAGTCACAAAGTGGGAGAAACGGGTAGTAAAATCAGCTTTTTACTGCAGAGAGGGAGCCGTTCACCTAATAAGCCACTTCAAAATAATAGGTTAAAGAATACAGGTTTGTATTCTTGACACTATAGTGTTCCTTTAACTCTGTGATATGAAATTGGAAGTCCCACGCTTTGCATGAGAATGTCCAGCGTTTTCTAAATCCCCATAGGTAAGTATTGATACAGGCCTAATGTACGTACTGCTCACCAATAGATTCCTCCTTGCGATGGTGTCAGAGGAGCTGGAGATGGAGCCAGCACTGAGGAACCTCGGCACTAGAATAAGTTAAGTTGGAGCAGGAACTTCCATTAGCTCTCCTGTGCTAAGTTGGGATAACCCTTTAAAAGTGAAGCAAAGATGGTTGCCTTGAAAAGCTCTTCAACTTGTTCTCTGACAAGTGCACTACAATATGAGACACAAAAATGTTCTGTTCTAAAATATGGTACAAAAACTAAAAGGGAAGGAGTCACTAATTGAAACATGCCTACTGGTTCCACTGTCTTCCATTGTGATTGCCACATTTAGTACTTAGACCATTTTTTAGAAAGAAAACCGATACACTTTCCCCTATTTTACTCTCATGTGTACTGGAAATCCACATCGCAACCAAATGGGGAAAACAAGAATTTTACTAACGAACTCACTACACCAAGGGAGTTGTGGAGAATAGATAAAAACTGCAAACGTGAGGCCAAAATGACCAGATTAGAAAGATTCCCCAGCTGGGCTACATTTGTCTATAATCTGCCATTTCTCCACAATTCCTGCCTCAGTGAGTAAACTCCAATGTGCTGAAACTACCAATTAAGCAACAATAAAGTATGATGAAACTGCCGTGCAGTCAATGGTCCACTTAAATAAGTCCTTCAAAGAGCAAACATTACCTTTTATATGTTCAATGTTGACTGAGATTTTTGGTATACACACATGAGAAAAAGGCAAAAAAAAAAAAAAAAATGAAATACCAAACACACTGCTTGGGAGCAAAAAGACATTCACGAAAGATAGGGATGACAGAATCAGATAGATATAAAAAGCCTAAAATCCTTTAAGAGACCTCTGTCAATATATCAATACAGAATGCACTTGTAATTATGGTTACTTTTATTTACCTGCTCTGTGTTAAAAATGTATAGATGTGAATTTTAATATTTTTTTGTTTTTAATATTATACCCTATTGCAACAATGGAATTTGTGGGCCCAGGACATATTTGAAAACGAGAGAAATTGCAGTGTAACCTTCCTGATAAAATATGTGATAAATAAAAATCTACACACAGTGACAGGAAAACCACAAACAAAAAATGTACTGACTAAAAGTTCTACTTCCTTGGAGATATAAGACAACATACAGGGGTAGATACCCAGTCTGCTGCCCCTCCCTTCACTTTATACATTCATATGTGCAAATAAAACACAACCTTACAGTCCACTTCAACTCCTCTATATTTTGCTTGCATTGTATGCCATCATGTACACACTTAATATGGTTATTAGTGTCATATCTTTTCAACTAAGCTAATCTCTGTAACACATTTTCTACTAAACACAATGTATTATCTTTTAGTAATCCTCCATATATCATTCTGTAAACCCTGTGCTGGGCTTAGAAAAAATGAAAAAAAATAAAATTGTAAATTATAAAGTTAATGCATTAACATTAAATTTTTTTTATATATTTAAAGTGCTATCTTACCCCATAAACACTGCTCCATCTAGAGTTAAAGGGATATGCAGTTCAGACAGTCTTGACCAGAAAAAGAGGAAGCAAAATTTGAATTATTAAAAGTCAAAGACAGAGTGTCAATCACAGCAGTAGGCTGTTGGGTAGGTTTAGTAATCCAATAATGGTAGAGTTTAGCCCAACATGGCTGTTCAACCCGCTAAAAAGTGAAATTTTCTAAGTAAATAAGTTGTAAACTTATAAGAATGAGAAGAGAAAATATGATGACAGTTGCCTTTTAAGGGAGCAGTCCAGGCAACATAACCATTAAATTCCATTGTGATTACTTCCACTTTAGCAATAAGCGACTAACGAGCTGGGCTGTGAGTGTCTCAGAGATTCCCAGTTTCGGTAAAACAGCTATAAAAAAAAAAAAAGTTTGTACAAGAACAGAGATATGGCACCCTCAGCCTTAAAAGCACAATAAGCACTACACCAACATATAGTGGTGATGGTGCTTAGACTGCTTCTTTAAGCTATTAAGTTGCCAAGTCCCAAATTAATGTGCGGCCTTTTACAGATAATTAAGCATGGGGTGTAACCATCTTTAATGAGCTTCTATCTCACAGTGACTCAGATGCACCAAAAACAGGTTATTTTATTTTATATACCTATATACACACACATACACCTTATGAATAATGCATCTGCTTTTCGACTGAAGTTATGAGTCAGATGTTTTTTCAGTTGTTCTGACTGGTAGATATTTACAACAGATACGGCTGAAAAAATAAAAATAAAATAAAAAAAAAAAAGTGACAGACTTTATGATCATTCTGCTCAGGTAAACAAAGTTTACATAAAGCGGCTTGAACCATGTACACTTGGATTCAATAATAAACCACTTTAGATATTTGTTAAAAGGGACACTCCAGGCACCCAGACCACTTCTGCCCATTGGAGTGGTCTGGGTGCCAACTCCCACTACTCTTAACCCTGCAAGTGTAATTATTGCAGGTTTTTTTTTTATAAACTGCAATAATTACCTTGCAGGGTTAACTCCACCTCTAGTGGCTGTCTAGTAGACCGCCACTAGAGGGCACTTCCTGGTTTCTAGCACAGGAAACCTGTGCTAGAGCGTCGCTGGACGTCCCCACGCTGTGTGAGGACCTCCAGCATCGCTCATTTCCCCATAGAAAAGCATTGAAATGCATTTTCAATGCTTTCCTATGGGGAGCGCTAATGCGCATGCACATCATTGCCGCGCATGCGCATTAGGTCTCCCCGGCCGGTGGGCGGGATCAGTCTCACCAACCGAATCAGAGGGAGGAGTGGCGCGGAGGAAGAAGCAGCGACGAGGGGTTAACACCTCTTCAGCAACCAGGGATTGAGGGGTGGGAGGGTGAGAGGACCTGCAGTGCCAGGAAAACGGATTGTTTTCCTTGCACTGGAGTTTCCCTTTAACCCTGCAAGTGTAATTATTGCAGTTTTTTTTTTTTTATAAACTGCAATAATTACCTTGCAGGGTTAACTCCACCTCTAGTGGCTGCCTACTAGACAGCCACTAGAGGGCACTTCCTGTATCATAGCACAGAAAACCTGTGCTAGAGCGTCACTGGACGTCCTCACGCTGTGTGAGGACCTCCAGCGTCGCTCATTTCCCCATAAGAAAGCATTGAAAAGCATTTTTAATGCTTTCCTATGGAGAGCTCCAATGCCCATATGCGGCATTGCCGCATATGCTCATTAGGTCTCCCTGGCCGGTGGGTGGGATCAGTCTCGCCCACCGGCCGACATAATGCAGAGGAGAAGTGGCGGCAGCGGAAGAAGCAGAGACGTGGGACATCGTCGCTGCCTCTGGTAAGTTACTGAAGGGGTTTTCACCCCTTCAGCAACCGGGGATAGGGGGTGGGAGGGAGAAGGGACATGCAGTGCCAAGAAAATAGATTGTTTTCCTGGCACTGGAGTTTCCCTTTAATTATTATTGCTACTGTAGGGACATAAGAACAAGGCACCATACAGTATACTGAACGGGCACAATCCATGTACTTACAGAAGATCTAGCATTTTGTTTCAGAATAAGTCATTTAGTATATACCAGCTATATCTAAACCAAATGAGAGCCTGGGATCTAACCACCACATACAAAGATATGTATAGAAACTGATGGTGGTTAATTAAACTATGCCATAGTAGGAATTTAAAGTGAACTTTCTCTTTATAGTGTCCCCCACATAGTGAGCAGGCATAGGGTAATTGAGAATTTCTTGTCAAACCATGAAAAGAGATTGACAGAATCTAAGGTGATTTACCCATAGCCTCCCAACACCATAACCACTACAAAACATAGAAATAAAAAAAAAAAATAGCCATTATCACTGCACATTTATTCCAATCTAATGAAACTAGTAAGTCACATTATTTTCTTACATTTAAAAAAAAAAAAAAACTTACAAATGGATTGCTGAGCTGTGAAGCCATAGTTAAAGGGACACTATAGTCACCAGAACTACTACAGCTTAATGTAGTTCTGGTGTTTAAATGAAAATGGCTGAAAGAGCAGGCTGTAACCACTGTCTTTTCAGAGAGAAGGCAGGATTGACATTACTGCTTCGTAACACCTCTAATGACAGCCACTATAGGTGCTTCCTGTGTCAGTGCTGAACACTTTGCATGGAGACTCTGAACGTTCCCCATAGAGATGCACTGATTCAATGCATCTCTATGAGGAGATGCGTATTGTCACAGCATGGTGTTTTGCCGCACATCCTCAATAGCTTCTAATTTGAAGATCACAGCCATGGAGGTAGGGCCAGCAGCGGTAAGAATAGCACAGCACTGAAAAAAAAAAGAAGCTATTTGAACGGAGGCCGGGTCTTTAAACAGTGTTTTTACCACTATCGTGTCAAATATACAGGTTTGTATTCCTGACACGATAGTGTTCCTTTACGTTTTGCCCACCATGGTTAGCTTTATTGCTGAAAGCTTTGGTTTCACAGAGATAGCCTAGGTATTCTGTACAAAAAAGTGTTAATGTCTACTTAAATATTTTTAAACCTTCTTTCCGAACAGAAATACTGAATATACACTAATCTTGCAACAGAGACAAAATAAATATACACACACATAAAGCTAGTGCTTTTGGATTCCAGAGGCATATCACAGTATCCAATAAGACAAGGAAATAAGGAACTTTTGTAAAATTTGGTTTAAAAATATGGATGCTCCACAATTAAGTTTTATTCAGTGACAGGCCAATTATTGCAGAATGAAAACAAAATTGCAGGCTAATATAGCCTTTGTTGGACTTTTTTCCCATCCAAACTGCAATTGCTACATTTTTCATCTCACTACAATTCTGAGTTTAGTAAACAAATCCTTAAAGTGATACTCCATAGACCAAATTAAAAAAAACAGTTTAGTAGATATAACCCCAGTGAAAACATGTATAATTAATTATGCATTCTCTCATTGGCGTATATTTAAAAACAGCTTGAAGAAAGAAAAAATGCTGCAGATTTCTTGTCTGCAGCCTTTGCCTTCTTCCCTACCCTAGACTTTATGTGGCTGTCCCATCACAGCTCAATGAGAAGTCTTTGCAAGGCAGGTGCTCTTGGCAATTGCATGTCTCCTGAATTTAGTTCCACCAAGCTAAAAACTACAAGAACAGGACACACACTGTGGCTGCTATGGTAACCCCTTAGTTGATGCGGCTAGCACTAGCCAGGGAGTACATAAATTGAGTAACGTGACGTCACTTAGACGCCAGTATAGAAATTTCCACAAGCAGGGTAAATTACGAGACCAGGCTGAATGAGGGAAAGCAGGAGGGGTAGAAATCACAGAATATTAACACCCACACCTCAGCGTAATGCAGCGGAGGACGGAGGGTCCGGTAAATGGTCACAGGTTCCTTTTAAATTTGCACCCTGACCAGTTATGAGCCATCCAAACGGTAAACCTGTTACAGGCAGGGCATGCTTAACTATTAAGATTTCAGGATGGGGTCCTACCTCAACTTTAATTTGACACTTGTTTGGTGATGGGGAGTGGGGCCATGATACAATGAGCCTGGGGTGCATAGGGCATCTTAAATCAGATTGTATAATGAACTCTTCTGTGCCTGAAGGGAGGAGTAGATGAAAACAGGAAGTAACTGGTCCTCTGTTACAGCTCTTTCTCCAGTTCTTCTCAAAAGGGAAATAAGATACAAGATACGTAGGAAATGCATAGAAACAATTTGTACTACAAAAGGTTTGTTTTGTTTTTTTTAAATTACTACACTTGTCAATCCTTGGAAAATATCTAGATGGTGTATGTGGAAACCGTGACTTGGGTCCTGGTAATGAGGATGACATGGCAGTCATAATCACAAGCCAAGGGTGAGGTCAGTAGTACTACTTGTTAAAAAAAAAAAGTTACAAGAGTAGGCGAATACAGGAAAAGAGAATTCCCTTGGGGCATGGACAATAAGTGATATCAAAGGGTTTATTCACCAAGTAAGTTCATGAGCAAGTTGCCAAAATTAGTAAAAAGAGTGTGTGGAAGGGAGGGGTGCATTACAGGTCTTAATATTGGTTTCAACTCACCACCACTCTGCTTAAATCATGGAATCAGTATTCTGGTTCAACCTGGCAGTTCTGTGGAATAGGTTGGCGCTTTATAGATGTCAGTAATAAATAAAATATAGCATGCAGGATCCCAAGGTCACCTTTTTTTGTTGGCACGCACTCTATTTTCATCCCAGTAAACACAACTGAAGTGTTCACTGGGGTCCAATGTGCAAAAGAAACATGTAAATAAAGCCTACTTTCGCTGCAAAGGGGCAGGGAGAGCATGCGGCCATCTTGGAATCTTCCAGGAGGAAATATTTGAGAATTGATATACAGTAAGATCTGCACAGAACAATTTAAGAAATCGCACAGAGCTCCAACTGTAAGCAATGGACAGACCAATATAACCATTTCTTGAGATGGTCAGCCCAAAAGAGGCAGTGTCCAGGAAACTGCTGCAAAAAAGACATTCAAATCCATTTTATGTTGGAAAGGATTTAATAGATTAGAGATCAAATACATTTAAAAAGGGTCATCACAGCCTACTGTGTTCCTTTAAACTATAATAAATAACTACTAGTTAGCTATGAAAATAAGCCCGAATCTGGAATGTGACAGTTCCTCTTTAAGCTCTGCAGAGATCAATGTAAATAGGTTGCAGCAACATTTTATTACATCCAATGGGCATATTTTCCAGAGTGAAAGTATGTTTCCCAGTTCCCATAGGTTACATTATGATGTTATACAAGAAACCATAGTAATCATTTTTAGGAGAAAAGGTAAAATAGCTTACATTTAAAGGAACACTATAGTATCAAGAACACAATCATGTATTCCTGACACTATAGTGGTAAAAACATAGTTTAGGTCCCCAGTTTCCCCTTTGAAAAGTTAAATTTCACTCACCAATTAGCTGAAGTGGTCTGGGTGCCTACAGTGTCCCTTTAAGCACTGGTGTATGGGAAGTTTCACTTCCATGAACACTACAACCACTAAAAGGACAACCCATCTCTCTATACAGATTATAAGGTTTTTATGGGTTCTCAGAAGAGCTAATTGGTCCTGTTTAGGAATTTCTGGCTTTACAGCATTGGAAAGGGAGATGGGGAGCAGCACTCAGTGGACTCCAGATAAGAGCGATCACACCTTTCAAAGCTGTCCAACACCTTACAACAGGGGAGCAAGGTACTCCTGGCACTATAACCAATACAACAAGCTGTTGTGGTTATGGTGTGCTCCTTTATTGTCAACCCTGGATCCAGCACAATGCATGGATTATTTCATATGCTCAATATTGATTAGGTCATTTGTACATTATCCTATTTCAGGGGTTTGACAAATGTGTTCGCATATCAATGTTTGCTTAGGACTCTGCTTGCAGAAAGTATTGATTGTTACACATGCTCTATTACACAATTTAAATAACAGAGCTCCTTTAGGAGCCCTGCATTCCCTGCGACTAGAATACTTTTAAATGATATATAACATATATAAGGAACATGAAGTCCATTACTTTTAAATGCCCAAACCCTGTTCACAAACAAGTCTTTAATCAGGTCAACCTTTGTCTCATTCATCCTTGCCCACAGCTTGATTAATCCTAGAAGAAAGTTACACAATATAAAACACAAATTGGAAGTAAAGTTTATTATAACTGCAGCAGAGGAAACTACAGAGTGAAAAATACAAAATTGCCCCTTTAATGTCTGCTATTTGACAGAATCTTGAGTGGAGCACTCGTCTACATAGGTTGAGAATAACATTGTAAATTGTGTTGTACACCTGTGCCAAAGAAATCTTCAGCCCATCAATGCATCCCAGTTTGGATGAAATTAAGACTGAAATATCAATTCTGCACTATCAGGGTCATTAATGCTGGCAAGGAGTGGGTGGACTCCAGGAAACCAGTTAAAAGGGACCAAGGGAACCTTGCCCAAAGACTCAACATCACCAATATGCCGAGTTGCGGTTGGTTTGCTGCTTTCAGCATCTATTTAAGAACTATGTTGACTTATCGTAAGAGCATCTGAATCCTTAAAGGCTTATTAATAAACCTAGAATTAACCAGAAAGTTACAAAGTGTCTAGCATACCTAAATTAAAAAAAAAAAAAGTATCTGCAAATCTGCCAATTTTCCAGTATGGCTATTGGCATAAAATGATCAATTCACAACAATTGCTGATTTCGAATATATCCCACCTTGTTTCAGGTTGCAAGACTGTCCATTTTGTCAAACTTCTGACACCACCCACATCCTCTGATGTAATGCGCAAGTAAAGCTAATGTGACAAATGCATTGATGTCATGCATCGTTACTAGACTAGCAGTAGCTATAGTTCTCACATGAATTCAGTGCAAGAAGACAATGCTGGCTCTGACTCACAGAATGAGACACCAATGACCCCTTCATGAGAAAGAAAATGTAATTATAAATGGAAAGAGGTAGGCATCAGTGACAGGAGATATTAGGAAGTCTGAAAGATTAAAGTGCCAGAAATTAGAACATGTTTACTCTTCATTAACAGAAAATAGGTGGGAAACGGGATTAAGATCAGTCACATGGCATGAAAGGAGAGAGACAGAATGTTTGCCGTTGGTGTGAAAACAAGTTTATCGGGGCAAGTGATCTGTGTTATCTGCTGAATGGGATTTGCCACAGCAACACCAAAATGCAAACTGTATAAGAGATGGGTTTGTTTTTTGTTTAATGGACTTAACAGAAAAAATAAATAAGTAAATAAACAAGAAATATTTGTTCAAAAGGTGTACAGATGAACCTGAAAAGTGGCAACCCAAAAATAAAACGTTAAAAAAATAAATAAATAAAATTAAAAATTAAAAAAAATCACAACATTCCAGGATGGACACTAATAGTAGTAATAGGATTAATAACTATGAACAGTCTTGAATTTAAAATAAATGCCACATTTTATTTCACAACAGTCAAAATGGATGCTTTCAACAAAAAATTAAAATTCACTTTGAATTAATTTCCCACTTTACTGAATAATCCTGCACGAGGTTTCTTGCAAAAAGATGGATAAGCTACAACCATAAATTCACAAAAATGTGTGTGTGCTTGTGTGGCATGGAGGGAGAGAACACTAAAGCTCACCTTCCTGTAAATGAAAAGCTTAATATGTCTGTTTACAGAATGCTATGTGTGCCAACAATGACGGATTTATTTTTTGCACAGAATTGACATTAGGCAGCCCAGAACAGAGTGATGGGCTGTCTAACTCATGTGCTGGGGTTGCAACTAGCCCAAATCAAAATAGTACAGATAACGCTATAATTGGCAGAATTTCAAGCTGAAATGCTACACATCAAGATTCCTACCACGATTACCACTTCAAAATGCAGAAGTGGTCATGGTAGTTGGAGCAACTCTATTGCAAAAAAAAAAAAAAAAATGATTTTAGTACCACTTTTATAATATACAGAGTAAGTCCAAGAAGAAATTATGAGAATTACGAAGAACACTGTTCAAACTTCAATGACAATTTATTTTTAAATTTTTTTTAAAATGTCCTAGGCCAGGCATAGGCAACCTTCAGCACTCCAGATGTTTTGGACTATACCTCCTGTGACTTTTGCCAGCATTATGGGGGATGTAGTCCACAACATCTGGAGTGCCGAAGGTTGCCGATCCCGGTCCTAGGCAGACTGTCATTCTCCAACTGTTCATCTCTTAGAAAATCTCTCCCAAGTGTTTTGTTTTTAACTAGTACTACAAAGATATTTTAGAGAATCAGAAATACAAGTAAGCAAAGATCATCTCTACAGGTAGAAGGAAGAGAAACTCAGGTTAAATAAAGTTTTTCTATTCCTGGAAGGGTACTGAATGCATGACACAGCGATATACCTCATTTTCCAAAACCTTACTCACTACTACCTTTGCATACCTCTCCAACGTCTTGGATCCTTTTCTGATATGTTCTAGATGCCTCTTGCTACAATGCTGCCAAGCCTGAATATATCCATGAAACTTATTTGCCGAGATTCTGGGCACATGAAAGGGAAGAACTCGCCAACTACATTATAACCTACCTAGGCAAGAACACAAAATTGTAAACTAAACAGACAGGGTTCTCTTATTTCAGTGGATTTAAATATTTAGCACCTGTTATCTTTGGCATTTATATAGCGCCAACATATTCAGCAGCAATTTACAATAGTATAAGAGGAGGAAATTTAATAATAAATAAGACAAGTACATAAAAGTTACAGGAACAGTAGGTTGATGACACTGCTCAAACGAGCTTTCAGTCTATAAAATATAATATTTGTGTAGATAGTAATATGCAAAAAAAAAAAAATCAAAGATAATATGTATATATTATAATATCCAAGAGCACTGCTAATCTAAGTGCTAACAGCATATCAATAATAAAAAAAGACTGGTTCCATATCAACTAAAACTATGCTAGTCTGGACAGAAAAACATTAAATCAAATAGCTTCCAAGTGGAAGACAAGGTGTAACTTAGAAAGATGGAAGTCAAGAGGACAGGTGCATGGATAGGTTGGGATACTGACAGATTAGGAGCTTGGGTGGGAAAGTGATTAGCCATACACTGCTGAGGAATACGTTGGTACTTTTAAAATAAAGTAACAAGTAATATAAAAATGCAAGCTTATGAAGGGTGAAGAAGTACCAGAAGACTACATTTGAACGCTGGGAAATTAAAGGGGAGTTAGACGGTAACAGAATCCCATGGCAGAGATTGGCTGACTTTATGAGTGCCACAAATTCACTATACAAAAAAAAAAAATATTGAATTAGACTTTTATAATAATGGCCATCACATTTTACAGTGATTGAGTCTACAATCGAACATCTGTAAACCACTACAGTTGACTGCTTTTTGGGGAGCTTATAATATTGGTGACAGTTGGTCGAGCCCTGGACAAACAAGAGTGAGCCTTGGAACAGTCCTGTTTGGGGGAGAGCGAGACAGGGGCTCATTTCAAGAGTAAGACAAGGGCAGAAAGGATCATGAGAACAAGAGAGTCACAAAAAAAAAAAAAAATCACGACAAGAAGAGAGCAGCTGACACTTAACTAACTAAAGAGCAAAAAAGATGGGGAAAGAGGAGCTGCAGGAGGTAGTAGACAGATTTGTGGGGGTAGTTTGGAAACTGTCTGCCCCCTCCCCCTTTACTCTTATCCCAATTGTTATCACACAAGAAAGCTCTCTCATTCCATGTCTAGTTCCCTCTGCTTTGCCTCTCCTCCCCCTCTCCTTCTCTATGCCCTGAGGGAGGGAAAAAAGGAGGGGTGAGGGGGAGAGGGGGATGGGTGGGAAAATTTGGAAAAAGGGATTGTTAGAAGGGGGAAAGAAAAGAAAGCACAGTCCTAACTGAGGAGAAACCTCATGCCACAGAAGCAACAAAGAAAATCAGTGAGAGGCCAGCAGAAAATCAGAGAGTACCCATTAACGGTCCTATATAAACCATAGTTCATTAAAGTAAGGTTACAGGGCATCCTATAAGAAAGCCTATAGATTGACTAAACAAGTTTTAAAAACCAAATCTTCCATATAAGTGAACAGGACCATGAGCCTAGTAGTAAATCATTTAAAAATGTGTGCAATAGACAGATGTAACGTACTGGGGCAGAAAGGGTTAAGGATGCAAGCCGGAGCCCCACAGGGAAGAAAAATAAATGAAGTTATAATACAGTATTGTATGAGATCACGTGGCTCATCCCACGGCAAAGCACAGTTTTAAAAATTTGATGGGAAACCCTACAGCCATCTGGACACAATCTGTTTATTTCATAGTAACTTGAAAGGAATCAAACATCCCTAGAAATTCAGAGCACGCTTGCTAAAGTGTCATAAGAAGGGAATAAAACCATTGTCAACAGGCACTTTATATGCAATTGTTTAATCTTACACAATCCTCAACATTCCTATGCAAAAAAAATAAATCTTTCCCATATTCCAAAATATGTCCATGCGGAACATGGACTCCAAACCCTGAAACTTCAATAGATTACATGAGATACTGTCCAGTGAGGAAGAAAATAAACGTAAAATATAACCCGTGTGACATACAAACACGTCTTGAAACAACGTTATCAAGTCTCAGACATATATTATAATAAATGAAACTGAATAAATAAATCCATATCAGAGAACCTGCAGACAAAATATTCATTATGTACAGAGAACATGAATAAAGAACAATGCTAGTATAAAAGTAAAAGTGCATCAATAGGAACATTCCAATGGTTTCTATAGTAACTGCTCCACTCATCTGGATGGGTTTTCTCCAAAGTCAAAGAGCAAAAAACTAAATAAATTTGATCAGTGTTTTTTTAGAGCATATTTTATGGATACAATTGCCTGCTCACAATAAATGTAGAGATTAGAATAAAGCCACCAGTTAACACTACACTTTCTTTTTCAAACTTTCAACTTTCTCATGAGCTGGTAAGATGGGACGATACATAACTTAGCAACAATCTCATTTTATGAACTGGTAAGCGATATAAATCTTATTTAACAAACTTAACTGTTGTCTCTCCAACAGTGATCAGAATGAATTCCATTTACAATAGTTTCACTTAGCACTAAATATGTCTAACAATTTGATTCAGGATTATAGATTTAGAAGGGTTCATATTTAATATGACTTACACAATGGAATTTTATTTCCAAATGAAGCATGAGATCTACAGAAAACGTTTCCCAATTTAAATATCAAGGCCTGAAATTTGCTTTGAAATCTTGACAATTCACAAAATAGCCCTGTGTATGTCCATAGGTCCTGCCCGATTAAGTGGCCACACTGTCACTGTCATCATCTTACAGGAAATCTGATTTCACACTGTACTTCCTAATGCTTCTTCGGGCTATATGTGAACATATAAGACTACACTTTCACAATTAAACCCTATAAAAATCTATACATGTCTACCTCATTACACCCAGTGTAATGAGATAGATATGTATAGGACACAGGATACATTGCACACCCAGTGTAAGGGTTTTGTGCAGATTATAGATCTTTGTGTAGAGATTGATGCAGAGTAATTACAATGAGCACTGCAGGTCACCAAAATCTTTCACTTTGAGCTATACTAGAGATAATTACAGGTGACATTAGCAGTGATATATAATCTGAATTTTCATAACCGTGTTTTAAAAATAAAGAACAATTCTGCAATATGTAAGGTTTGTAATTAAGCTACAAGAATATAAAAGTACTTAATATACACAATATATAATAACTACATATATACACTAATAGACAGCCCCCCCAATTACTACACATATACTGACAGACAACTCCTTGCTAACTACATATATACTGACAGACACTAATAACTACATATACACTGAATTGATAGAGAGCCAGCTAATAACTATATAAACACACACTGATAGACACTAACATTATATATATAACGTGTAGAGGGGCTAATTATCTGTATATCTGTATATATTGATAATTAGCCAGGTTACACTCTTAGCTCTGATAGACTGCTCGCAGTACAGAGGAGATTTCCATGTTAGACTATCAGACTCATGTTAGAGAAGCAGTGTATGGACTCGGCTTACCATAGGTGACTCTCTGACTGAGCAGTACAGCTGTAACCCAGAGCAGGCTGCACACCCCCGGCCGCCCCATCCTGTTTTCCTAGCCCGGGGCCGGCTCTAGTCACGGAGATCTTCTCTGACCGGCTGACGGAGCCACACTGATCTCACACAGAACATTGCTGGCGCCGAGCGGACACTAAGCCACGCCCACTGAAACTATCCCAGCCACTCAGAGGGCGCGTAGGCGGGCGAAGGAACCTTTCATACTGGTTATCAAGAAAGGAGACTAGCGTGTAGTCCCGCCTATTATTTAATAGACACACCCCCCCACCTTTCTACACAATGGTCAATATGTCTCTCTCTGTTATCGACAGGAGAGGCTCCGCCTACGTTAATTGGTGATCCTTGTTCGCAAGAGCAGGAAGGCGGGGCTACATGATCTGGATTGACAGCCTTCTGTCTGGCAGCGACCAATGAGCGTGGAGCTGAGACCGCGGAATGCGTTGAAGGTGGGAAGGAATGGCCAAAGCTCAAAAGGGGGCGTGGCTTCAGACAGATTCCTACACAGGCACCACGTGGGGAGTAACACTTTACTGGTGTGGAATGCCCTATTGTGCGAGACCGCCGATAATACTGCGGGAGACTATCACCGCCGGCCGACCGATACCATCTTGGTTCTTCCATGTGACAAAGTCTGACATCGGTATCCTGCTCCCACCTTAACCGATAAATACCTCATATATCACTGCAACCAAATCACTACCACCACTATAACACTACTACTATAAAATCATTACCACCACTATCCACTGCTACTATACAAATCATTACCACCACTATCCACTGCTACTATACAAATCATTACCACCACTATCCACTACTAATGTACAAATCACTACCACCACTATAACACTACTACTATACAAATCACTACCCCCACTATCCACTACTACTATACAAATCATTACCACCACTATAACACTACTACTATACAAATCACTACCACCACTATAACACTACTACTATACAAATCACTACCCCCACTATCCACTACTACTATACAAATCATTACCACCACTATAACACTACTACTATACAAATCACTACCACCACTATAACACTACTACTATACAAATCACTACCCCCACTATCCACTACTACTATACAAATCATTACCACCACTATAACACTACTACTATACAAATCACTACCACCACTATAACACTACTACTATACAAATCACTACCCCCACTATCCACTACTACTATACAAATCATTACCACCACTATAACACTACTACTATACAAATCACTACCACCACTATCCATTACTACTATACAAATCACTACCACCGCTATCCACTACTAATATACAAATCACTACCAACACTATCCACTACTACTATACAAATCACTACCACCACTATCCACTACTACTATACAAATCATTACCACCACTATAACACTACTACTATACAAATCACTACCACCGCTATCCACTACTAATATACAAATCACTACCACCACTATAACACTACTACTATACAAATCACTACCAACTCTATCCACTACTACTATACAAATCACTACCACCACTATCCACTACTACTATACAAATCATTACCACCACTATAACACTGCTACTATACAAATCATTACCACCGCTATCCACTACTAATATACAAATCACTACCACCACTATAACACTACTACTATACTAATCAGTACCACCACTATAACACTACTACTATACAAATCACTACCACCACTATCCACTACTACTATACAAATCATTACCACCACTATAACACTGCTACTATACAAATCACTACCACCACTATAACACTACTACTATACAAATCACTACCACCACT